AAACATAATGATACTTTTTTTTTTTTTTTTTTTTTGAGACCGAGTTTCGCTCTTGTTGCCCAGGCTGGAGTGCAATGGCGCGATCTCGGCTCACCGCAACCTCCGCCTCCTGGGTTCAGGCAATTCTCCTGCCTCAGCCTCCTGAGTAGCTGGGATTACAGGCACACACCACCATGCCCAGCTAATTTTTTGTATTTTTAGTAGAGACGGGGTATCACCATGTTGACCAGGATGGTCTCGATCTCTTGACCTCGTGATCCACCCGCCTCAGCCTCCCAAAGTGCTGGGATTACAGGCTTGAGCCACCGCGCTCGGCTCATAATGACACTTTTATTCTTCCCCACGGGTGGAGCCCACGGAGGTCGGTCCCAAATGGGTTGGTGGCCTTGATGTTCCTACCAAATGTGTTTTGACAGAAAGGCAAAGATTTGTGCTGAACAAAACCTCATCCTGAACAGGACACTGGGCCGGGTACAGTGGCTCATGCCTGTACTCCCAGGATTTGGGGAGGATAGGGTAGGAGGATCACTTGGGCCTAGGCGTTTGAGACCAGCCTCGGTAACATAGTGAAATGCTGTCTCTACAAAAAATTCAAAATTAGCCGGGCTTGGTAGTGGATGCCTATAATCCCAGCTTCGTGAGAGGCTACGGAGGATAGCTTGAGCTCAGGAGTTTGAGACTGCAGTGAGCTGTGATCGCACCACTGCACTCCAGCCTGGGAGACAGAGAAAGACCCTGTCTCAAAAAAAAAAAAAAAAAAAAAGAAACAGGAGGACACTGAAATCAAGTATGGCCACGAGTATCACCCTCACCCCCATTTTACTGATGAGACCAATGAGGCTCAGCCAGGTCTCAGACAAGAAGAAGGTGCCTCATTTGCTGGGGCCATGGGCGGTTCTGGGTGTCGGTGAGACCTTTAGAGAGCATTTTATATCGTTGTAAGCTTGGCCTCTGCAGGACGTCCCTGTTGAGAAGTGACTTCACCAGCGAGCCCAGCTGGCCCTGAGCCAGGGGAGCCACTGCTGCCCTTTGACACAGATGTCAAGAGGATGACAAGGCCTTTCCAGGAAGACAGGTTTCACCGGAGGTGGTTTGAGGAGGGAGGACCGAGGGAGAGAGGTAATCTCTCCCTGCCAGAGAGGGGAGGCTGAGAAAGACGAGAACTGGGAGTGGCAGGGGGGTGGCCTTCCCAGGGAGCACAGGCAGAACTTTCACTTCTCTGCACCCTGGGAGCGACAGCTCTGTTCCAGACCTGTGCTTGAATCAGCAGTCACCCAGGCATTGTTCATTGTCATTCTGTACGGCGGACTAGTTTTTTGTTTGTTTTTTTTGAGACAGAGTCTTGCTGTGTTGCCCAGGCTGGAGTGCAGTGGCACGATCTTGGTGCACTGAAACCTCTTTAACCTCCTGGATTCAAGCAATTTTCCTGCCTCAGCCTCCTGAGTAGCTGGGACTACCATGCCTGCTAATTTTTGTATTTTTAGGAGAGATGGGGTTTCGCCATGTTGGCCAGGCTGGTTTTGAACTCCTGACCTCAGGTGATCGGCCCACCTCAGTCTCCCAAAGTGCAGGGAGTATAGGTGTGAGCCACCGTGCCTGGTGTAGGGACTGTTTATTGTCCTCCTGGGCCTGTGGAAGACAGTGGGATGCCATGGGGTGGATGGTGATTCCTGCAGGCAAGGCCCTTGTTGGAGAGAAACTGTTTTCTAAACTTCGAGTTTCAGCCACAGAAGCCTCAGCCTGATGGCAGTCGAGGAGGGGGGTGTGGCCTATCAAACCAACAAAGTGCCTGTGGAGCCCAGGTTGGGAGAGAAGTGCATATTCTCTGTGTCCCCTTCTGTCCCTGGTTCTGGGAGGAGACCTCACCTTCCTGCCTCAGGGCTGCCTGCCTTCCTGTCTCCCTTGGGCAGGTCTCATTCCCCACTGAGCCTCAGCTTCCTGACTTGAGATATCCCAGGCTATGGGGAGGGTACTTGAAGTGAACGTGTCAGTACATGACGTGGACAGTCGTTGGTGAAAAACAGAAGTGAGGCAGATCTGAATCTCATGAAGGGCTGATTCATCATCTACTCATTGGAGCCAGAGGGGGGTCCCCAGGGCAAACGCCATTCATACTAGCTTGGAAGACTCAGTTCCAGTCATTATTTTAGCTAGCTTGCTAACTGATTTTTCTTTTAAAGAAGTATAATTTACTGTGCAAATAATGCATAATCATTTTGTTGAAAAATTCTACAATATGAATACATCACAAGGAAAAAAACTTCACAATATAAAATCAGGCCAGGTGCAGTGGCTCACACCTGTAATCCCAGCACTTTGGGAGGCTGAGGCAGGTGGATCACTTGAGATCGGGAGTTCAAGACCAGCCTGGCCAACATGGTAATACTCCATCTCTACTAAAAATACAAAAAAAAAAAAAAAAAAATTAGCTGGACATGGTAGTGTGTGCCTGTAATTCCCAGCTACTTGGGAGGCTGAGGCAGGAGAATCGCTTGAGCCTGGGAGACAGAGGTTGCAGTGAGCCAAGACTGCACCACTGCACGACAGAGTGAGACTCTGTCTCAAGAAAAAGAAAAAGATAACTAAAAGACTCCCATTCTACTCTTCTTATAATCAATATGTGGACCATTTAGGAGATAGCCAATATTTTAAGACTATAACCACCACAGTAATAAAGGTCCCATATTTTGAGCTAAGCAGTGTCTCCATTAGTCTTCATAAAAGTTGTCCAAAGTAACCACAGCTGAGAAGTGATGGAGCTAGCTTCCATTCCAGAGCTTTAACTCTAAATAGCTAATCCCTTCTGCTGCTTTTATAAGATAGGCTTCATTATGCCTGTAATCCCAGCTACTCGAAAGGCTGAAGTGGATCCCTTGAGCTCAGAAGGTCAAACCAGCCTGCGCTGTATGGTGAGACCCTATAGTTTCTTTTTAAAAGAGAGAAAAAAAAAAGGTGTATTTAAAATGTCAGTGACAGGAAAGAAAACACAAGGAAGAAGCCACTCTCACCCTTGCCATTGAGCCTGGTTGTTATTTTTGTTCATTCCTGATGTCTCCCCAGCTCCTCCCATCCTGGGGAAGTCCGTGATCACCCCTTTGTTCCTGTTTGTCCAGGGATTTGGGCATCTGCCTCTGGGGGTATTCGGGCTGGTGGTGGCAGTGATGGCAGTGGTTTCGGTAGTTCTGCCCTAGCTGGGTGGGAAGACAGTGAAACCAGTCCCAGGTTTGACTGTTACTGGCTGTTTTACTTGACACAAATCATTTCACTTACCTGAGCCCCAATATGCTGAAAAATAAAATGCAGATAATCCTATGAAGGACCAGAGATTGTGAAAATTACGTAAATCTGTGCGGTGCCATACCAGTGTGGTGCTATGCAAATTTAGGTCTTACTGTTTTAGGCCAAAAGCTTGGGTTTGAAAAGCGATGTCCCAGGGTAACAATTGGTTTTGTTCAGAGCGGCGCAATTCACCAGTTCAAAGAAATGCCACTGGAGATGTTTTGTCCCAGCCCTACCTGGGACGTCTGTGTGACATCAAGCGAGTCACAGCCTTCCCTGGGACTTCAGTGCCCCAGTTTTTGTCATTCTCAAACATGAGTCTATCCCAAACCTCCAGAGAGTGAGGGCCTTGATTGCAGGGCTATAGAACTGGGTTTTTCTGGGAGGCAATGGGGATTCAGGCTAAGGAGTGCGGACATTATCCAGGCAGTGGGGAGCCCCATAAAGCCTTCAAGCAGGGAAGTGACGAGGCCAGATGTGTACTTTAGTAAGTGGCAGGCTGGTAAGGGTGTGGAGGCTGCCTGAGCTGGCGGCAGGACCTAGCCGGAAGGGCCCAGGGGAGGAGGGGAGAGGAAGCTGTTCCACAGGGCAGCTCTGAAAAGCTGGCTGGAAGCTGAGGTTAACACACCCTCAAGCACCTTTGGGGTTTCCCAAGTTGCTGTAAAGAGGAAATGATTACTCTTGAGAAGTCAGGGGACTTCTTTAGCCTTTGGCCATGTGATCTCAGCAAGTCATTTAACCTGCTCAGGCCTCAGTTTCCTCATCTCGGAACAGATGAGATACAAAGATATTGTGAGGACTCGTGTCTGTGCAGCTGGGCCTGGGCCCCGTGCAGCCCATCCTCAGTGGCCATGGCTGCTGCTTTTGGGATTCCCATCCATGCAAGAGGGAAGGATACACGTGACTCTACTTCGTGGAAGGGAGGCTGCAGGACAGCCAGAACTTTTATTCCTAGGGGCTGGAGTGGGGACTTAGAGGGATGGTATCTTTGACCTGCTCACATGTTCAGGGAAATATGCAGTCTACAGCGCCCTTCCCCATCTCTACCCTCCTTTCCCCTCGCAACAACCCAGGGGGTGGCCAGTGGACACCGTTATCATTACCTCCATTTTATAGGTGAGGAAAGGGAGACTGAGAGGAGGACAGTGACTTGTTGGAGGCCACACGGCTGGCTGGGTGGGAAGCAGGTGTGTGGCTCAGCACATCAGAGCTCTGCCCTCGCCAGGACTGCAGTGTGCAGCCATGGCGTTTTTTTTTTGAGGTGGCGTCTTGCCCAGTCACCCAGGCTGGAGTGCAGTGGTGCCATCTCGGCTTACTGCAACCTCTGCCTCTTGGGTTCAAGTGATTCTCCTAACTTAGTCTCCCAAGTAGCCGGGATTATAGGCACCTGCCACCACGCCTGGCTAATTTCTGTATTTTTAGTAGAGACGGGGTTTCACCATGTTGGCCAGGCTGGTCTCGAACTTCTGACCTCAGGTGATCCACCCATCTCAGCCTCCCAGAGTGCTGGGATTATAGGTGTGAGCCAGTGCAACTGGGCCATCACATTTTATAGATGGGGAGGCCGAGGCCAGAGAGATAAAGACCCTCCTGTCCTGTGACACCATGCATATGTGGCAGAGCCAGAATTAGAACCCAGGTCTCTGACTTCCAGATGCAGTCTCTCAGTGGCTATCCCACTTCATGGAATAGTAATAACGTTCTTTCCACCTTGTTTTCAGGGAAACCGGCTCCTGAAATCAAGTGTCCCGTTCCAGCCTTCCCAGACTCTGTGAATCCAGACAGGCCTTTGGCAGCTTCTGTAAGCAAGGCTGAGGATGAACAGGAAGAGGGGCAGCCTGTGAAGAAAGACACCTTTCCGGGCCCAGGTATTTTAAATTGGATTCAACTTTTTTACTTCAAGCAAATTTATTTGAGGAAATGAAGACATATTTGTAAGGATATTCAGCTTAGCATATAAGAGCAAAAATTGAGGCTGGGCATGGTGGCTTTTGCCTGTAATCCCAGCTCTTTGTGAGGCTGAGGTGGGAGGATGGCTTGAGCCCAGGAGTTTGAGACCAGCCTAGTCAACCTGGTGAGACTAAACATTAAAAAAAAATTATCCAGGCATGGTGGCATGTACCTGCAGTCCTAGCTCTTCTGGAGGCTGAGGTAGGGGGACTGCTTCAGCCCAGGAGTACAGGGCTGTGGTGAGCTATGATTTCACTGCTGCACTTCAGCCTGGGTGACAGAGTGAGACTGTTCCTAAAGAAAGCACAAATCTGGCAACAGCAGTGGCGGATGGAAAATTAATGTCAGACAGTCACAGTAAAGTGCTGTCAGTCATGCTGTGGACATGCGTGTGCACATGGAAACATACTCAAATATAGGGAGGTGGAAAGGTGGAAAAAATCAGGTAGCAAAACATACATGACACCTATTACCGTATTTGTGAGCAGAAGAGAAATAACTCAGTAATCGAAGGCTATCTAGTGCCAGACACTATTGTAAGTACTATACTTCAAAGATATGGACTCATTTAATCTTCACGAACTTTGAATTAGGTATTGTGATTATGCCCATTTTACAGAGGAGAAAACTGAAGCACAGAGAGGTTAATTAAACAGCCGGGCTGAGGTCATGTCCTGCCAGGTCCTTGTGGTCTCCCGAGCCCCCTGCACAGGCTGGCCCTGCGTGCAGGCTCTGGGCTGGATGTCTGAACGTTTCTCTGTCCTTCATAGGTCCTGGCCCTCGCAGCCATGTGGAGGGGGATTGAAGGGTGCTTCCTGCCCACAACTTTCCTCCCCTCCATCAGTCACGGGTCTACTACAGCCCAGAGAGGGAGAGCACTTTGCTTACGGTCACCCAAATAGGAAGTAGTGTCTGAGCTGTGTGACTTGAACACTCACCTCCCTAACTGTCGCACTCACTGCTATCCCAAAGCCTTTCGGGCCGCTTCAGATTTGTCTCCCTCCCCTTGTGCCCAGGCAAGGGCTTGGGGACAGTTTCCAAATGACAGAATGGCTCAGCCAGCAGATGACTTCCCCAGGGGAGCTGCTGCTCAGCCTAGTCTCCATTTTCACCGCCTCACCCCCGGAGCCCCGCCTTACTTCCTCTATCCTGTGGCCTCCTGAGTGGTAAGCCGGAGACCCCAAATCCACGTAATCTCAGTTCACTGCTGCCATTCCTGAAGTCAGCATCGGCTGAGAGGAACCTGTTTTGTGGGCTTTTGTATTAGACAGACTCATATTTGAATCCCAATGCTGCTGTTTTGTAGAAGAATTATTTAGCCTTTGCACCTCAGTTTATTCATTTGTAAAAGGGGGAGAGTAATAGACCCTATTTCATCCGATTGCGAGAAATCCTGCCCTGAGTGTTGTACCATGGAGGTGCTCATTAAATATTATCCGATCTTATGAACATTCCAGACACTCCAGATACGCTGAATCTAGAAAGTTAATTCTAGGCCAAGGAGTCTGGATTATTTCCTGTAGTTAAAGATTTTCTTTTTTTTTTTTTAAGTGTAGACCTTTGATCAGCAATTAAAGATAAGGGGAGATGGTCCTGACAAAAGGGAAAATTATAACAAAATACAGGCATTGTAGGTGCATGCTGGTCAGGATGGAGGAGGTAGTAGGCATAGCAGTTCCTTCTGATATTCCTTATCTAGGTTCCTGTAAAGACAAACGTCACATGCTCTGTCAGCCTTTGCTGTTTACTTTCTCCCCTGCCCCCCACCTTTTTTTTTTTTTTTTGAGCTAGGCCTTGCTCTGTTGCCCAGAGTAGATCACAGTGGCATACATAGTCATAGCTCACCTTAGCCTCAACTTCCCTGGCTGAAGCAATCCTTCCACCTCAGTGTTTCAAGTGTCTGGGACTACAGGTGTGCACCACCATGCCCAGCTATTTTTTTTATTTTTGTAGAGATGGGATCTCATTATGTTGCCCAGGCTGGTCTTGAACTCCTGGGCTCAAGCGATTCTCCCACCTTGGCCTCCCAAAGTGTTGGGATTATAGGCATGAGCCACTGCACAGAGCCCTATTTTCTTCCTTTCTTTTTTGGTGGGGGGATGGAATCTCTGTCACTCAGACTAGAGTGCAGTGTCACAGTCTCGGCTCATTGCCACCTCCGCCTCCCGGGTTCAAGTGATCCTCCTGCCTTAGCTTCCCAAGTAGCTGGGACTATAGGCATGCACCACCATGTCTGGCTAATTTTTGTATTGTTTTGTAGAGATGACTTTCACCATGTTGCCAAGGCTGGTCTTGAAAGGGCTCAAGCAATCCACCCACCTTGGCTTCCCAAAGTGCTAGGATTGTGGTGTGAACCACTGTGTCCAGCCCGTATTTGCTTTCTTGATGGCACTTGGAACAGATGTGCCCAGGCAGGTCAAGATGATAACTACAGTCTGCAGACAGAGACAGGAAGTTGATTATCTATCTTCGCCTCAACTGAAAATCATTCATCAAATCACCCAAAGCTTGTCTCTTTTGGGAAAACCCCAAGGTTCCACTGAGCCCCCAAAGTTCAAACTGATGAATTATCTTGAAGGGTTTTGGTAGGAGTGGAGGATACTGAGCCCACATCTTGACCTCTGTGACACCCTGGCTCCCCCTTGCAGTAGGTGGGAAGGAAATGGGAAGAGACATGGAAGAGGAAAACATGTGAGCAGAGGAGCCACAGACAGGCTATGAGCACCTCAGCAAAGGAGTCTGGAAGCTGGAATTAAGATAAAAGGGTTTTGAGCAGCTGAAATAACTATCACAAAGCCTTAGCTGTAGGAGAGGCCACTGGGCTATCAGTCAGAATCTGTTTACTTATTCTACACATAGTTTCGCCAGCCTTGGTAAAATACAAAATACTGCATGTGTCACAGCCCGACCTTAGTGCTTTATAAACGTCAGCTCTTTTAACCTGGGCAAGGAGCAGATTGTTATTGCTCTTTTTTTTTTTTTTTTTTTTTTGAGATGGAGTCTCACTCTGTTGCCAGGCTGGAGTGCAGTGGTGTGATCTTGGTTTACTGCAACCTCCACCTCCTGGGTTCAAGCGATTCTCCTGCCACAGCCTCCCATTAGCTGGGACTACAGGCATGCACCACCATGCCCAGCTAATTTTTCTATTTTTAGTAGAGACAGGGTTTCACTATGTTGTCCAGGATGCTCTCGATCTCTTGACCACCTCAGCCTCCCAAAGTGCTGAGATTACAGGTGTGAACCACCATGTCCAGCCTGTTATTGCTCTTGTTCTTTTTACATTTGAGAAAGCTCAGAGAAGTGAGCCACAGCTCATCTGAAGTCAGATCTTGAGTAATGCTGGAGCCAGTGCTTGAGCCGAATTCTGTCTGATACTAATAAAGGAGACGGGGCAGCTGGGGGTAGACCCGCTGCCAGCGTCAGGGCAGGACATAGAAGACCCATGTCAGATACAGTACCGCTGCTTCTGCAGTTCTCATACTTGCAGTGACATAGCTCGGCAGGACCAGAGGTGGTGCATGCTGCTTGAGAAAGCAGAAGGGCTGCTGGCCTCGGTAGAAAAGCAAGAAAAGGGCCAAGGCAGGCTGATCACCAAGGTCAGGAGTTCAAAGACCAGCCTGGCCAGCATGGCGAAACCCCATCTCTACTAAAAATACAAAAATTAGCCAGGCATGGTGGCAGGTGCCTGTAGTCTCAGCTACTCAGGAGGCTGAGGTAGGAGAATCACTTGAATCCTGGAGGCGGAGGTTGCAGTGAGCCACGATGGTGCCATTGCACTCCAGCCTGGGTGACAGAGTGAGACTCTGTCTCAAAAACGAAAACAACAAACAGAACAAAAAAGAAAAGCAAGGAAAGGAAAGCTTCTGGAAGAATTTCCATAGGAAATGGTTTGGTTTTTTAGCTGAGTCCTGGTACTTGAAGGGTTAACTCTCAGTGTTTTGGAAACAAGATTATATAGAAGCCCTAAGCCCCATCCATCACCATTACCCAAGTATCCGATCTTGTCCATCTTCTCTCCTGCCCCATCTCCCTCCTCTCCCTTAGCCATTATTTTAAAACATTTTTATATGAAAAAATTACAGACATACAAAAGCCAAGAGCCTAATGACCCTCCATGTCCCCATCAGCTGGCTTCAGCAATGATCCACCCTTGGCCAACTTCTGTACTGAATCTGGGGAGATTTTCATGTCCTTGATGGCAGGAGAATTCCTTCTCATTCTCCTTTGTCTGCCCTTGGACATACAATGGGGGCCTTTAAAGATTATGATTGTGAGTTTCTCCTAGGAAGAGCCAAAGAGCCGATCAGATTAGGTCCCAGAGAAGGGGAGGGGTGGGTAGGGAGAGATGGAGAATAATGGCTGGTGGGTCCTGTCTGATTTTCCAGACCAGACTCCATTCCTTTTCCCCAAAACCACAGGGATGAATAAATCCAACTACTAGCCCTCATATCTCGCAAGAGCAGGCCTCAGGGATTCCCCCAAACTGAGAGGCCTGGGGCAGCCTCCTGAGCAAACCCCAGGCAGTAAGTCTGATAGGAAACTCATGACTTGTGTGAGGTCATCTCTGACCTCAGACTCACTGGGCCCAGGAGGACCCTGTGTGCAGTGAGAGCCCTGCCATGTGGCCACGCATGGCAGCAGGATGGAACTCAAGTTAGTCTGGAGCGGCGGTTCCCTGAGTGTGCAGCCCATACCCGCAGTGGTACATGGAACCTGGCTGTCAGCACAAATGTAGATCATGTGTCAAACAGCTAGGGACTTCATAGATATTACTGTTTAACACAAGGCTGAATACCTAACACTGGAATTAAAGTTGGTTGAAAGAAAACCATCAAGTGACTCAGTGAGGTGGCACAGACATGGCCAAACACTTGGAGATGGATGAGGAGAACTGCAGTCTGAGGGATGTGGGCCATGGGTACTGAGCTGAGGCCAAGAGAAGGCTGGGCAAGGGTGGAGGTGGCCACCACAGAGCAGCCCTTCTGCAAGACAGGGGCCCTGTGCTGTCCCGCAGAGGCCTGCATTAGTCCAGGTCTGCCTCTTGGTGAGAGGCAGACACAAAATAGGATTCAACAAGGTAGGATTTCATTAGGACAAATACTTGCAAGAAAATGGAGAGGGAGCTGGGCAAAGCCGGGAGAGCCTTGGGACCATGGTGCGTTGTTTTGGAGGAAGGGTGGGTGGGCACTTGCTGGCCTGCCTTTGGTGTAAGGCAGACTTGCCAGGGTGTCCGTTGTCCCTCACAGTCCTGTGTGGTCCGCCTGAGTGTCACCTCTGCACGCAGTGCCCGGGGAGCAGCGCCTCTGCACGCAGTGCCCAGGAAGCAGCACCTCTGCACGCAGTGCCCGGGGAGTAGCACCTCTGCACGCAGTGCCTTGGAAGCATGATCCAGATGCAGTTGCGGGGGTTGGTTGGAGCCAGCCATAGCTAGGGCAGCAGACAGCCAGGTTCCCAGCAGCTGGGGGTCTACAGCTCACATTCTCCTGCATGCTAGACTCGCACAGCAGCAGAGCAAAGATCCCAGGAATGAGGCTGAAGGCAGTCTCTTGACAGGCCCTCGGCCTTCCCTCAATTGATTTCATTGTATCAGCTATCTGTGGGGGTTCATCATTTAGCCAGGCTGATTTTATTTTCAGTGTCGTGCAACAATTTTTTCTTTGTTTGTCTGAGATGGAGTCTTGCACTGTTACCCAGGCTATAGTGCAGTGGCGCAATCTTGGCTCACTGCAGTCTCCACCTCCTGGGTTCGAGCAATTCTCTTGCCTCAGCCTCCTGAGTAGCTGGGACTACAGGCGTGTGCCACCACACCCAGCTGATTTTTTTTTGTATTTTTAGTAGAGATGGGGTTTCACATGTTGGCCAGGGTGGTCTCCATCTCCTGACCTTGTGATCCACCTGCCTCGGCCTCCCAAAGTGCTTGGATTACAGGTGTGAGCCACCATGTTTGGCCGTTTTTTTTTGTTTTTTTTTTTCTAAGTCTCACTCTATTGCCCAGACTGGAGTATAGTGGTATGATCTTGGCTCACTGCAACCTCTGCCTACCAGTTTAAGTGATTCTCGTTCCTCAGCCTCCCGAGTAGCTGGGACTACAGGCAGGCATCACCACGCCTGGTTAATTTTTGTATTTTTAGTAGAGACAGGGTTTCACCATGTTGGCCAGGCTGGTCTTGAACTCCTGACTTCAGGTGATCCACCTGCCTCGGCCTCCCAAAGTACTGGGATTACAGGTGTAAACCACCATGCCCAGCCCAAAATAATTTTTTTTTTTTCAGATGGAGTTTTACTCTTGTTGCCCAGGCTGGAGTGCAATGGCATGATCTCAGCCCGATGCCGGGCGCTGTGGCTCGCATCTGTAATCCCAGCTCTTAGGGAGGCAGAGGCGGGAGGATAGCTTGAGCCCAGGAGTTCGAGACCTGCCTGGGCAATATAGCGAGACCCCGTTCTCCACAAAAAGGAAAACAAACAAACAAACAAAAAGACAAAAAAAAAAAATGATCTCAGCCCGCTGCAACCTCTGCCTCCCGGGTTCAAGCAGTTCTCCTGCCTCAGCTTCCCAAGTAGATGGGATTACAGGCACCTGCCACCACACCTGGCTAATTTTGTATTTTTAGTAGAGATGGGGGTTTCTCCATGTTGGTCAGGCTGGTCTCGAACTCCTGACCTCAGGTGATCTGCTTGTCTTGTCCTCTCAAAGTGCTGGGATTACAGGTGTAAGCCACTGTGCTCAGCCGAAATAAATTTGTTAATAGCCAAAGTTTCAGATGAATCACTCCTTTCCTGATGTTGTAAGCCAGAAATACCTGAAACAGGTAAATTTAGCCAGCAATCCTGGGGTCAAGACCAGGTTCCTTTGTAAGGGTCAGGTCCCCAGTTACTCAGAAGCTCTCCTTGCCATGGGGCTCCCTGAGTATTTCCAGATGGTGATGTTTGAAGCATCTGGCCTCTGGCCAAGGCCTGCTTCTGTGCAGACCAGCCACCATGGCTCACCTCGTCTGCAGCCTGTATCTGCGCTCGCCCAGGAGCCCTCCCTTCCCCCGCTGATGGCCTCTTTAGTCTTCGGATCCCACGTTCCCCTGACCCTAAACTACTTGTCAAGCCTTCTGTCTTGTGACTCTTATTCACTTACTAAGGGATTAAGAACACAGACGCTGGAACCACTATGTGCCCTTGGAAAAGTTACTTAATTTCTCCATGCTTTACTTCACCATCTGCAAAGAGGCAATGAAAATGGTACAGTGGTACTTTATCTCCTGATTGGTGTGAGGAGTAGATGAGTTAATGCAGGTGAAGCTTTTTGTTTTGAGACAAGGTCTCATTCTGTCTCCTAGGCTGGAGTGCAGTGGTGTGATCACGGCTCACTACAGCCTTGACCTCTTGGGCACAAGTGATCCTCAGCCTCCCAAGTAGGCGGACCACAGGTGTGCACCACCATACCTGGCTATTTAAGAAAAATTCTTTGTAGAAACAGGATCTTGTCATGTTGCCCAAGCTGATCTCAAACTCCTGGGCTGAAGCAATCCCCCTGCCTTGGCCTCCCAAAGTACTGGGATTACAGACATGAAGTATTGAAAGCAGTGACTGGCATGGTGTTTGCTAATTAATGTACCTATACATTAACTTACTACAGCCCTGGGCCCTTCTACTGCCCTACCTCTGCGTGGGCTGGTTCCACTGCCCCATATCTACTTGTTGAAAACGTTTCTTCGCCACCTTTCAAGCCCAGGTCAGGTACCACTTCCTCTGTGAGCCCTCCTCATCTCCCAGCCTGTTATGGTCTCTCCTGCCTCTGATCCTGCTTTCCCGTGGGATGTATCCTGGGAAATGGTTATTGAATCCCTGTCTTGGTGGAGGTTTCTGGAAGACAGGCTTGGTAGTCTTTCTCTGCTCTGTGAGTAGGAGGTGAGATAGTGCAGGGCCTAGAAGTCAAACAGATTTCCATCTGAACTTCGGTGCTATGATCTACTGGCTGGGTGGTCCTGGGCACTGCATCCACCTCTGGTGCCTCCGTGTCTCCAGTTGTCAAATAGGATGATAAATAGGCCCCAGTCATAGGGGAATCAGAGGCTTATCCTGAGGTGACGCTTGAGGAGTGTGTTGGTCAGCACGTGGTGGGCGTCGGGAACTGGCAGCAACAAATGTTTGAGGAGTGACCAGGACATTGGCGTGGTCTGAGAACTAGACCAGGATCCCTCGTCTCTTCCTCCCCCAGGCTGTGTCCTGACCCGCACTCCCTCCTTTCCAGGGTCCTCTCCAGCCAGAGCCTACCCGCAGGCCTTTCTCCAACCTCCTGAAGAAGATGCTCCTCATTCCTTAAGAACCAACCTCCTCACTTCATCTGATTCACAGGTAAATCCACCCCTCGGCTGCTACCCCCAAGCCATGGCTCCCAGCTTGTGGTTCCCTCTAAAAATGCAATTTCTCTCTTTTTAAAAATTTTTTAACCGTATTTGGGCCCTGGGCTACATGTGCACATCCTGTATCCCGCAGGATTGTTGCTTAGGTACATACATGCCATGGTGGTGTGCTGTCTCCATCCCTCCCACCCCCCGCTCCCTTGCCTACATCAGGCCTTTCTTCTAGTGTTACTCCTCCCCATCCTCTCTGGCCCCCCTCGCTCTCCCTCCCCTCCACCCCTCCACCTAGCCCTGTGAATATTGTTCCCTTCCCCGTGCCCAAGTATTCTCATTGTTCATCACCTGCCTATGAGTGAAAACATGCGGTGTTTGATTTCCTGTTCCTGTGTCAGTTTGCTGAGAATGATGGTTTCTAGATTCATCCGTGTCTCTACAAAGGGACCATAAAAAAAGAACTCGTCATTTTTTGTCTGCACAGTATTCCATGGTGTATATGTGCCACATTTTTTTTTTGTCCAGTCTATCGTCGAGGGTCATGTGGGTTGGTTCCAGGTCTTTGCTATCATAAACAGCGCCACAATGAGCGTACGTGTGCATGTGTCTTTATGATAGAACGATTTGTAATTCTTTGGGTATATACCCACCAATGGGATTGACAGGTCAAATGGAATTTCTATTTCTAGACCCTTCAGGAATCGCCACACTGTCTTCCACAATGGTTGAACTAATTTACACTTCCACCAACAGTGTAAAAGCGTTCCTATTTCTCCACATCCTCTCCAGCATCTGTTGTCTCCAGATTTTTTAATGATCGCCATTCTAACTGTCATAAGATGGTATCTCAATGTGGTTTTGATTACATTTCTTTAATGACCAATGATGATGAGCATTTTTTCATATGTTTGTTGGCCACGTATTTGTCTTCTTTTGAAGTGTCTGTTCGTATCCTTCACCCACTTTTGAATGGGTTTGCTTTTTTCTTGTAAATCTGCTTTAGTTCTTTGTAGATTTCTGGATATTAGCTCTTTGTCTGATCCTTGAGAACAGTTTGAGGGTGGGGAGGATAAAGGAAATTACCACCAAATTACCCCAAGCTTCTAAGACCGTAAGTAGAGGAGGTCAATAATAGCAGGGAGAGAGAGGGAGGGCACTTCAGTGAGTACACTTTTTGCTTTTTAATTTATGATTATTATTTTTCTGAGATGGAGTCTTACTCTGTCGCCCAGGCTGGAGTGCAGTGGTATGATCTTGGCTTACTGCAACCTCCGCCTCCTGGGTTCAAGGAGGCGGGATTCTCCTGCTTCAGTCTCCAGAGTAGCTGGGATTACAGGAACCCGCCACCACGCCCAGTTATTTTTTTTGTATTTTTAGTAAAGACAGGGTCTCACCATATTGGCCAGCCTGGTCTTGAATTCCTGACCTCAAGTGATCTGCCCGCCTCGGCCTTCCAAAGTGCTGGGATTACAGGGATTACAGTGAGCCACTGCCCCTGGCCATTATTTTATTTTATTTTTGACCTGTCGTCTCAGTTACTTGGGAGGCTGAGGCAGGGCGGCAGGGTGGCTTCAGCCCAGGAGGCAGAAGTTGCAGTAAGCCTTGTTCCTGCCACCATACTCCACCCTGGGTGACAGAGTGAGACCCTGTCTCCAAAAAAAAAAAAAAAAATTTCACTGCACCTGGTCATTAGGTCATTATTTTATTTTATTTTTGACCTGTGGTCCCAGCTACTTGGGAGGCTGAAGTGGAGGATGGCTTCAGCCCAGGAGGCAGAAGTTGCAGTGAGCCGTGATCCTGCCACCACACTCCACCCTGGGTGACAGAGTGAGATCCTGTCTCTAAATAAATAAATAAATAAATAATAATTTATGAACATATTGGTATGAAGATAAATAAAATCCAAGTTGGATTTAAAACAAGAACATTTCTTAGACTCTAAAAGTTCTTTTATTTTCTTCTGATTTTAAAATAAATTAAAATGTTTTTTTTTTTTTTTTTTTTTTTTTTGAGGCGGAGTTTCACTCTTGTTACCCAGGCTGGAGTGCAATGGCGTCATCTTGGCTCACCGCAACCTCCGCCTCCTGGGTTCAGGCAATTCTCCTGCCTCAGCCTCCTGAGTAGCTGGGATTACAGGCACGTACCACCATGCCCAGCTAATTTTTTGTATTTTTAGTAGAGACGGGGTTTCACCATGTTGACCAGGATGGTCTCGATCTCTCGACCTCGTGATCCGCCCGCCTTGGCCTCCCAAAGTGCTGGGATTACAGGCTTGAGCCACCGCGCCTGGCAAATTAAAATGTTTTATGGCCCCTAAAAGTGTTGTGAGTCTGAGACCCTTTGGATCCAGTGTCTGGGGGAGAAGCCAGCTTTGCATGAGTCTGGTTAATGAAGCTCTTCCATGTCCCAGCTGTGATGTCACATGCCTAGAGTGCTGGCTACCCGGGAGGTTGAGGTAGGAGGATCACTTGAGTCCAGAACTTGGAGACCAGCCCCAGCCTAGGCAACATAGAAAGGTCCCATCTCTAAAAAATAAATAGGTCATCTTCCATGAAGGATAATCCCAGCACTTTGGGAGGTTGAGGTGGGAGGATCACTTGAGCCCAGGAGTTTGAGGCCAACCTGGGCAATGGTGTGAGATCCTGTCTCTACGAAAAAGTTTTTTTTTTTTTTTTTTTGAGAAGGAGTCTCTCTCTGTTGACCAGGCTGGAGTGCAGTGGCACAATCTTGGTTACTGCAACCTCCATCTCCCAGGTTCAAGTGATTCTCCTGCCTCAGCCTCCTGAGTAAGTGGGATTACAGGCACATGCCAGTACGCCCGGCTATTTTTTTTTTTGTATTTTTAGTGGGACCTCAAGTGCATGCCACCACGCCTGGCTAATTTTTGTATTTTTAGTAGAGACGAGGTTTTGCCGTGTTGGCCAGGCTGGTCTCCAGCTCCTGGCCTTGTATGATCCACCCGCCTCAGCCTCCCAAAGTGCTGAGATTATAGGCATGAGCCACCACACCCAGCCAAAAAGGTTTTTTTGAGACAGAGTCTCCCTCTGTTGTCCAGGCTATCTTGGCTCACTACAACCTCTGCTTCCCTGGTTTAAGCAATTCTCCTGCCTCAGCCTCCTGAGTAGCTGGGATTACAGGTGTGCACCACCATGCCTGGCTAATTTTTGTATTTTTAGTAGAGACGGGGTTTCACCATGTTGGCCAGGCTGGTATTGAACTCCTGGCTGAAGACGATCAACCTGCCTTGACCTCCCACCATGGCAGGATTATAGGCGTGAGACACTGTGCCTGGCCTCTACAAAAAAGTTAAAAAATTATCCAGGCATGGTGGCACGTGCCTGTAAACCCAGCTACTCGGGGAGGCTGAGATGAAAGGATCTCTTGAGGCTGCGGTGAGCTGACATCATGCCACTGCATTCCAGCCTTGGTGTCAAAATGAGACCCTATCTCTTTCTTTTTTTTTTTTTTTTTTGAGACGAAGTTTCGCTCTTGTTACCCAGGCTGGAGTGCAATGGCGCGATCTCGGCTCACCGCAACCTCCGCCTCCTGGGCTCAGGCAATTCTCCTGCCTCAGCCTCCTGAGTAGCTGGGATTACAGGCACGCGCCACCGTGCCCAGCTAGTTTTTTGTATTTTTAGTAAAGACGGGGTTTCACCATGTTGACTAGGATGGTCTCAATCTGTTGACCTCGTGATCCACCCGCCTCGGCCTCCCAAAGTGCTGGGATTACAAGCTTGAGCCACTGCGCCCGGCCCTGAGACCCTATCTCAAAAAGAAATCAATACTATGTGTGTGGCATGTTCCCAGTTTTAAAAAATAAATCCTCGTATATCTAATTGGCCAGAAATACACTAAATTTTAATAGCAGTTAAGTGGATAATAGGATTATGGATACTAATTTTCAAACACTGTTAAGAGCATATGTAACTTTAAAAAATTTAAATTTAAGTACATCTGGTTTAAAGAGAGAAGTTATTAAAAAGGGAAGTGGAACTTCTTTTTTTATTTTATTTTTAATTTCTTATTTTATTTTTTCGGAGAGGTGTCTTGCTCTGTCACCCAGAGCTGGAGTGCAATGGTGCGATCTCAGCTCCCTGTAACCTGTGCCTCCCGGGTTCAGGTGATTCTGCTGCCTCAGCCTTTCCAGTAGCTGGGACTGTAAGTGCATACCACCATGCCTGGCTAATTTTTGTATTTTTGGTAGAGACAGGGTTTCACCATGTTGGCCAGGCTGGTCTCCAACTCCTGACCTCATGATCCACCTGCCTTGGCCTCCTAGAGTGCTGGGATTACAGGTGTGCGCCACCGTGCCCGGCCCAGAACTTGTTTTCATAGGCTTATATACACATGCAGTCTCTGCAGTTCTGTTTAGAGCAAACTTGTCCAACTCCTGGCCCATGGGCTGCGTGCAGCCCAGGATGGCTTTGAATGTGGCCCAACACAAATTTGTAAAGTTTCTTAAAACATTATGAGTTTTTTTGAGATTTTCTTTTATTGCATTTTAGGTTTTGGGGTACATGTGAAGAACATACAAGATTGTTGCATAGGTACACACATGGCAGTGTGGTTTGCTGCCTTCCTTCCCCTCACCTGTATCTGTCATTTCTCCCCATGCTATCTCTTCCCACCTCCCCACCCCCCATCCCTCCCCCATTTCCCCCCAATGGACCCCAGTGTGTAGTGCTCCCCTCCCTGTGTCCATGTGTTCTCATTGTTCAACACCCGCCTATGAGTGAGAATATACGGTGTTTGATTTTCTGCTCTTGTGTCAGTTTGCTGAGAATGATGGTTTCCAGGTTGATCCATGTCCCTACAAAGGACGTGAACTCATCGTTTTTGATGGCTGCGTAATATTCCATGGTGTATATGTACCACATTTTCCCTATCCAGTCTATCATCGTTGGGCATTTGGGTTGGTTCCAGGTCTTTGCTATTGTAAACAGTGCTGCAATGAACATTCGTGTGCACGTGTCCTTGTAGTAGAATGATTTATAATCCTTTGGATATATACCCAGTAATGGGATTGCTGGGTCAAATGGGATTTCTATTTTTAGGTCCTTGAGGAATCGCCACACTGTCTTCCACAATGGTTGAATTAATTTACACTCCCACCAACAGTGTAAAAGTGTTCCTATTTCTCCACATCCTCTCCAGCATCTGTTGTTTCCCGATTTTTTAATGATCGCCATTCTAACTGGTGTGAGATGGTATCTCAATGTGGTTTTGATTTGCATTTCTCCGATGACCAGTGATGATGAGCATTTTTTCATATGTTTGTTGGCCTCCCGTATGTCTTCTTTTGTAAAGCATCTGTTCATATCCTTCGCCCATTTTTGAATGGGCTTGTTTGTTTTTTTCTTGTAGATCTGCTTTAGTTCTTTGTAAATTCTGGATATCAGCCCCTTGTCAGATGAGATTTTTTTTAAAAGCCCATCAACTGTCGTTAGCATTAGTGTGTTTTATGTGTGACCCAAGACAATTCTTCTTCCAATGTGGTCCAGGGAAGCCAAAAGATTGGACACTCCTTGTTTAGAGAATCGTGTTTGTATCCTAGTTCCCAGGAGTCTGGAACCCAGTATCCATTCTGTGGATCAGGCCAAGGGCACTGAGCTCGCCCACTGACCAGCTGTGTGACCTCCCTTCAGCTGTTTATTTCCTCGGTGCTCACTTCTGTAAACTGAAGTAAAGGAAACACCAACCACTTGCCAAGAGTATTCACATCTTAGTCTTCACAATTACTCTTCAGGCTGTTATCGTTGTCTTCATTTCTGCTGATGGAGAAAAACTGAGGCTCAGAGAGGTTATGTAACTAACCCAAAGTCACAGAGCAAGACAGAGGTGGAGCTAGGATTTGAGCTTGGGCCTATCCAGATCTTTTTTTTACAGTTTCCATTGGATAAGATGATTCCCCTCCACTCTTTCAGCTCTAGTGTTCCAAGATCCCTTGAGGTAGCAGAGAAAACCAGATTCCAGGCCGGGCGCGGTGGCTCAAGCCTGTAATCCCAGCACTTTGGGAGGCCGAGGTGGGTGGATCACGAGGTCGACAGATCGAGACCATCCTGGTCAACATGGTGAAACCCCGTCTCTACTAAAAAAATACAAAAAAAAAAAAAAAAGAAAACCAGATTCCGTAGTCATCTTCATCTCTTCTCTCTGAGTCTCCAGGACTTCAGCACCTCCGTTCCTAAACAGGAAAAACTTTTGAGCTTGGCTGGAGATAGCCTCTTCTGGAGTGAGGCAGACGTGGTCCAGGCAACTGATGACTTCAATCAAAACCACAAAATCAGCCAGGGGAACTTTGCCGATGTCTACAGAGGGCACAGGCACGGGACACCACTCGCCTTCAAGAAGCTCAGAGAGGTGAGCACTTCTTGGTTTCTAGTGAGGTTGGAGGCTGCAGGGGTGAGGTGGGATATTCATGCTTCGATGTCTTTCTCCACAGACAGCCTGCTCAAGGCCAGGATCAATTGAAAGATTCTTCCAGGCAGAGCTGCAAATTTGTCTTAGGTAAGCCTCCCCTTTGAAAAATGCTTTGTTTAGTAATAATGATAGGTAACCCTTATATAGTGCTTCCTGCGTGCCAGGCATGTTTTAAACGCTGTATCATATATAAACTCATTTAGTCCTTACAAGAACACTATACATGTAGCTACTATTATCACATTATTTTACAGATGGGTACACCGAGGCACAGAGGGGTTAAATGTCTCATCCAAGGTCACACAGCTAATAAGTGGCAGAGCCAAAGTTTGGATCTATCTGGTTTGGCTCCAGAGTCCATTCTTCTCCTGTGTGGCGATTCCATGCATACATGAGAATTATAAAGGAACCTTGGCTTACTCCAACTCCTTCCTTCTACACGGGAAGAAATCTGCTTCTCTCCTTTTGTTTTGTTTTGTTTTGTTTTGAGACTGAGTCTTGCTCTGTCACCCAGGCTGGAGTGCAGTGGCGTGATCTCAGCTCACTGAAAACTCTACCTCCTGGGTTCAAGCGATTCTCATGACTCAGCCTTCTGAGTAGCTGGTACTATAGGCATGTGCCACCACACCTGGCTAATTTTTGTATTTTCGGTAGAGACGGGGTTTTGCCATGTTGGCCAGATGGTCTCGAACTCCTGAACTCAAGTGATCTTCCTGCTTTGGCCTCTCGAAGTGCTGGGATTACAGACGTGAGCCACCTTGCCTGACTTTTTTTTCCTTTTCTTTTTTTTCTTGCTCTATTGCCCAGGCTAAAATGGCCTTGGAATGCTTGTAGCTCACTGCAACTTTGAACTCTTGGACTTGAGATCCTCCCACCTCAGCCTCTGAGTAGCTGGGACTACAGGTGTGCACCACTGCACCCAGCTCATTTAATTTGTGTGTGTGTGTGTGTGTGTGTGTGTGTGTGTGTGTGGAAATGGGGATCTCGCTATGTTGACCAGGCTGGTCTTGAACTCCTGGGCTCAAGTGATCCTCCTGCCTTGGCCTCCCAAAATGCTAGGATTATAGGTGTGAGCCACTGTGCCCAGCTATGTGTGTGCTTTTTTTTTAAAAAAATTATTTTTCATCTGAAAATAATTCACTTGCACCTTATATTGTAGTGTATGTCAAGAAATAAAGAAGGCCAGGGGTGGTGGCTCGTGCCTGTAATCCCAGCAGTTTGGGAGGCAGAGGCAGGAGGATCATCTGAGGTCAGGAGTTCAAGACCAGCCTGACCAACATGGTGAAACCTCATCTACTAAAAATACAAAATTAGCCTGATGTGGTGGTGCAGACCTGTAATCCCAGCTACTCAGGAGGCTGAGGCAAGAGAATCACTTGAACCCTGGAGGTGAGCTGAGATTGCACCATTGCACTCCAGCCTGGACAATAAGAATGAAACTCTGTCTCAAAAAAAAAAAAAGAAAAAAGAAAAAAAAGAAAAGAAAGAAAGAAAATTGAATACCTGTTTATTCAGGAACCACTGTTAAAAAACAAAGAAAATTGACTGGGCACAGTGGTTCATGCCTGTAATCCTAGAACTTTGATGCTGAGGTGAGAGGATTGCTTGAGCCCAGGAGTTTGAGACCAGCTTGGGCAACATAGTGAGACCCTGTCTCAGCTGAAAAAAATATATATACAGAAAAATTATTTTGGCTGGGTACAGTGGCTTACACTCATAACTTTGAGAGGCATTTTGAGAGGCTGAGGCAGGTGGGTCACTTAAGCCCAGGAGTTTGAGATCAGCCTGGGTAACTTGGCAAAACCCTGCCTCTGTAGAAAATACAAAAATTAGCTGGGTGTGGTGGTACATGCCTGCAGTCCCAGCTATTCGGACAGCTGAGGTAGGAGGATCACTTGAGCCCAGGAGGCGAAAGTTGCAGTGAACCAAGATCACAACACTATACTCTAGCCTGGGCAACAAAATGAGTCCCTGTCTCAAAAATGAATAAAGGCCAGGTGTGGTGGCTCACACCTGTAATCCCAGCACTTCAGGAGGCCGAGGTGGGAAGGTTAGTTGAGGTCAGGAGTTTGAGACCAGCCTGGCCAACGTGGCGAAACCTTGTCTCTACTAAAAAAAAAATACAAAAATTAGGCCTGGCATGTTGGCATGTGCTGATAGGCCCAGCCACTCAGGAGGCTGAGGCACAAGAATTGCTTGAGCCCAGGAAGTGGAGGTTGCAGTGAGCCCAGATCGCACCACTGCACTCCAGCCTGGGCAACACAGTAAGACTTTGACTCAAAAAATAAGTAAATAAATAAATTTTTTAAAAAGTAAAACAAATTTAAAAAGGAGCAAAGAAAATTATAAATAAGAAAATAGAAACCATGTGTTTTCCACAGCACCTGTAAATAAACACTACTGTTTTAATATTTTCATATATTTTCTTTTTTAATCGTTAAAACTTTTTTGTAGAGACAGGATCTCACTATATTGCCCAGGCTGGTTTTGAACTCCCTGCCTCAAGTGATCCTCCTGCCTAGGCCTCTGAAAATGTTGGGGTTTTAGATGTGAGCCACTGTTCCAGGCCCATATTTTGATATGTTTTCTTTAATACTTTCTCTATTCATACATGTATGCGAATACTCACATGTACACACACACACACACACACATGCACATACACCTAATAAAAACCAAAGTGTGATTCACTTTCTACTGTGACTTAGTGCCCTCATGGAGATGGCAGTCACTCATTCATGGAATCAGAAAATGTTAGTCAAGCCCTTTCCTAGGCTCTAAGGAGTGTAGGCTGAATGCATACATAGTCCCTGCCTAGGGGTTTATGGACCAGTGGGGAGACTGACATGTAAGTAACTGTAATGAGTGTGCAAAATCAAGTAAATAGGATGGCTTGGGGGAAACAGAGGAGGGCAGAGAGATAAGGCAAGAGGCCATTTACAATAGTCTTGGGGAGATTGAATCAAAGACTGACCCAATCTAAGTGACCCAAGGCAGAGGAGAGGGGAATGAGGGGTCATTTAAAAAGTGATCTGTGGCAGTGAATGGTGACTGATTCGATATAGGAGATAAGAAGGTTTCTAGGATAATGGGTGGGTGGTGATGTGCCTTTCTGGGATAATAAATACGGGTGAAGAAGCAGGTTTGGGACTTGTTGAGGCTAGAATGATGTTGACCTGAGCATCAGGATGCAAGCTGGCATTCAGGTCTGGAGCTTAGAACAGGGTTGGAGATAAGAGATTTGGGAATGTCCCTCATCGCAGTGGGAGGTACCTGGTGGAGCAACATACAAAACAAGATGAGGAGGCCAGCTGGCAGCAAGAGGAAGGCAAAGGAGGGGAGTCTTAGTGAAAAGGACCAAGAAAGAGTGGTCAGAGAGGTAGAAGGAGAGTCAGGAGAGAATGGTGACTGAGAACCCAGTGGAAGAGGATTTCAGGGAAGAACACCAGTGCTAGAGTCAGACAGACGTGGGATCCGGTCCTGGCTTCACTGCTTGCTAGTTTGTGACCTTGGGCAAGTCCCTTAACCTCTCAGTATGTTTCTGGAGATGAGACAGTTAAGGTGTCATGTGCTGCAGAGCAGTAAAGCAGGATGAGGATCCCCACACTCCTTGAAGGCAGGCAGTTTTTATCTTTTTACCCTGGGGCCAGGCCCTTAGGGGTCAAAGCATGTGCTACCTGGGAGGTTACTGGTGGCCTTGGAGGAGGAGAGGGCAGAAGAGAGGTGGTACATGAGGAAGTAGATCATTCTTTCCGTCTGACTCTCACCCCTGCACTGACGCCTGATTCCAGATGCTGCCACCCCAATGTGTTACCCGTGCTGGGCTTCTGTGCTGCAAGACAGTTTCACAGCTTCATCTACCCCTACATGGCAAATGGTTCCTTACAGGACAGACTGCAGGGCCAGGTAAGCGACTGGGTCATGGTCAGAGAATGGGACCAGGCTGCACCCAGCCATGGAGTCAAGGGTTAAGGACTTACGGAAGTTCAGAGCGGAGAGGGGCCATCTAGGTGAGACCAGGGAGGCTTTAAGGCGAGAAGCGGGGCCAGGATACATAAGATCTGGTTAAATGCTCACTTTGGCAGCACATGGACCAAAATTGGAACAACACAGAGAAGATCAGCCTGGCTCCTGAACAAGGATGACAACATATGAAAAAGAAAAAGAAATGCGCAAAAAGATCTGATTAAATATCTTCGGCAAAAAAATCTGTTAAAAAATTATTTGATGAGAGGCATTTCATTCAAATCAGGAGCAAGACAAGGTATCTCATAGAACTAACCTCATTCATCGTGGTTCTGGAGGTATTAGCCAGTGCAGTAGGACAAGAAAAATAATTAAGAGGTAAAGAGTATGGAAAAGTGGAGGTGAATTTTTATTATAAAATGTTCTTCTAATATATACGTATTTGCTTGTGTGTTTATGGAATATCTCTGGAAAGATACACAAGAAACTGGTTCACTGGCTGATGCTAGGGAGAACTAGATGGCTGGGGCCCAGGATAAGAAGCAAACTTACCATTAGAGTATTATATCATGTGAAGATAATCCTTAATACAAATTATAGTGTTTCAAAATAGGCCTTCTGTTTATCATATCCTCAAACAGAGGGGAAAGAATTATTCCATAATAGAATTATTGCTTTTCATGGCACACTTAGTGGTTGTTAGCTTCTCTGAGTCCTCATTGTGTGCAGGTTGCCATGATAAGGGTTTTATAGAGGTCGTCTCCTCCAGGCCATGCCATAGCCAATGCAGTTTCTTCCCCAGTTTTTCAAAAGAGGAATCTCTGACACGTAGAGATAAAATGGCTTCCCCAAAGGAACACAGTGGACAAGTGTCAGGCCAGGGCTTATATTGGGTTTGTCTGGCTGTAGGTTTTAGAGTTTTTGAGAAGAAATTAGCAGGGATTGTCCAGGCAAGTTCTTAGAGGATGTGGGACCCACGTCAGGGCTTAAAAAATAGGTGAAGAGGCCAGGCGTGGTGGCTCACACCTCTAATCTCAGCACTTTGGGAGGCCAAGGTGGGTGGATCACTTGAGGTCAAAAGTTCGAGACCAACCTGACCAATATGGTGAAACCCTGTCTCTACTAAAAATACAAAACTTAGCCAGGTATGGTGGCACATGCCTGTAGTACGAGCTACTCAGGAGTCTGAGACAGGAGAATCACTTGAACCCAGGAGGCAGAGGTTGCAGTGAGCTGAGATTGCACCACTGTACTCCAGCCTGGGTGACAGAAAGAAAAGAGACTTTGTCTAAAAAAAAAAAAAAAAAAAAAAAAAAAAAGTGATGATTTAGCCTGGGAGAATCAGTCTTAGAACAACAGTAGGAGCAAATGAGAGGTGTTAGCCCACCCCAATCAGGTTCTTGATAAAAATGACTGTTGATTGAGCACCTAACGTGTGACAGGTGCTATGCTAGGGGTATCCCATATACTCCTGTGAATCCTTACAGCAACCCTAAAATGTAGGGATTGACATTTCCATTTTAAACCCAAGGAAACTGAGGCTCAGAGACATTAAGTCTCTTTTTCCAAAATTACACAGCTAGTGCATGTCTGAATTGGGAGTTACACCTAGATATATCTGATGTCAAAACCCATAGGATAGGGCCAAGCGCATGGCTCAGGCCTGTAATCCCAGCACTTTGGGAGGCCAAGGTGGGCGAATCACTTGAGCCCAGCCATTCGAGACCGTTCGAGACCAGCCTGGCCAATATGGCGAAATCCTATCTCCATGACAGATAGGAAAATTAGTTGGGAGTGATGGCATGTGCCTGTGGTCCCACCTCCTTGGGAGTCTGAGGTGGAAGGGTCACTTGAGCCTAGGATTTTAAGGCTACAGTAAAGTATAATGCTGCACTCCAGTCTGGGTGACAGAGCAAGACCCTGTCTCAAAACAAACAAACAAACAAACAAACAAAAACCTGTAGTATCATGCTCAGCCCTGTGGCAGAGAACGTGAAGGGCAGGAGGGACAGAAGCCTGGGACCCTGCCATCAGGACTTTAAAAAGGTACATGGTGACTGTTTGTCCTCCTGCTTTTCTTTCTCTTAGGGTGGTTCTGACCCCCTCCCCTGGCCCCAGCGTGTCAGCATCTGCTCGGGGCTGCTTTGTGCTGTTGAGTACCTGCATAGCCTGGAGATCATCCACAGCAACGTCAAGAGGTAAGAGAAGGGGGCTGGACCCTGCTGGGGTCTGAGCTGCAAGGGTGGGACCAGAACCTATTCCTGGCTCATTCCCCGCCACCACTCACCCTGTCCCATTCTTCTCTCCCTACCTCCTCTCCCCTACCATCCCCTGGGTGTCTTTTTCTCTGTTATGCCCTCAAAAATGAGTGTTTCCGGGCTGTGCTCTGAGTCCGGTTGCTCTCAGGATGAATCACCTACCTGTCAGCACATTTGTCTCTCTGAGCTGCTGTTTTCCCAGCAAGCCCTCCACACCCTGCTGCGTCTCACTGTCCACGGAGCAGCTGGCCTGGACTTCATCCTTGAACTTTGGCCCATGTCTGCCGACTCCCTGGGATTTCAAGCTACTTGTTCAGTGTCTTCTCTGAGACCTATTCCCTCCTTGTGTAGCTGTTGGTGTTAGCATCTTGTCTGGAAGGCTTCCCGCAGGTTAGGCCTGTATCCCAGCATCTCGGTGCCATGCATGCGAGAGGGAGAGGTCCTTGTCTGAGGATGGTTAGGATAGGGAGGGATTCCGAAGATATCAGAAAATCTGGCAGAACTGGCCCAGAGACACAGAACTCCTATTTCCCCAGAGTTCTCTCTCCATTTGATTTGTGGAAGTCCTTTCTTCTTTTCACTCCCCCAATTTTTTTTGTTTTGTTTTTTTGAGATGGAGTTTCACTCTTTTCACCCAGGCTGGAGTGCAGTGGTGCTATCTCAGCTCTCAGCTCACTGCAACCTTCCTTCATCTCCCAAGTTCAAGTGATTCTTCTGCCTCAGCCTCCTGAGTAGCTGGGATTATAGGCACGTGCCACCGTGCCCAGCTGATTTTTGCATTTTTAGTAGAGACATGGTTTTCACCATGTTGACCAGGCTAGTCTCGAACTCCTGACCTCAGGTGATCCACCCACTTTGGACTTCCAAACTGCTGGAATTATAGGTGCAAGCCACTGTGCCTGGCCCTCTCCCCCAGTTTTTATTTGATTGCACCAATAATTATAATAGCAGGCAAGGAGATGAAAGGGTGAGAGAGGTCACCACTGACCTACCCCGACCCTGACTCATCAGCCGGCCTCTAGGTTTTCTTTCTTTCTTTCTTTTTCTTTTCTTTTTTTTTTTTTTTTTGAGACGGAGTTTCGCTCTTGCTACCCAGTCTGGAGTGCAATGGCGCGATCTCGGCTCACCGCACCCTCCGCCTCCTGGGTTCAGGCAATTCTCCAGCCTCAGCCTCCTGAGTGGCTGGGATTACAGGCATGCGCCACCATGCCCAGCTAATTTTTTGTATTTTTTAGTAGAGACAGGGTTTCACCGTGTTGACCAGGATGGTCTCGATCTCCCGACCTCGCGATCCACCCGCCTCAGCCTCCCAAAGTGCTGGGATTACAAGCTTGAGCCACCGCGCCCGGCGGTTTTCTTTCTTTTTTCAGTTCCTGACCACACAAATCCTTAGTCCCAAGGTAGCACCTGGGTACCGGTTGACATCCCGTTTTTTACCCCTTCATTTAAACATAGTAAACATTGCCCTACATTGTAGGGCATGTCATGTTTTTTAGTGACTTCTTAGTCTTTCCTTAAAGGAATTTGTCCATTATTTACTTAACCACTCCTAATAGTGAATATTGGAATTTGGGGTCTACTTTTTAAAATATTGTTTTTCGGAGTTAGTTCTACACTAAATACACACACATGTATGCACGTACATGCACACACACACACACACACACACACACACACACACACAGCTTTTTTCGGAGATAGGGCCTTGCTCTATTGCCCAGGCTGGAGTACAGTGACGCAGTCTCGGCTCACTGCAGCCTCCCATCTCAGCCTCCCAAGTAGCTGGGACCACAGGTATGCACCACCATGCCCAGCTAATTTTGTTTGTTTTAGCAGAGATGAGGTCTTGCTATGCTGCCCAGGCTGGTCTTAAACTCCTGGGCTCAGGCGATCCTCCTGCCTCAGCCTCACAAAGTGTTGGGATTACAGGCACGAGCCACCATACCTGGCCTGCACTAAATATCTGTACACATGTGGCTTATATTTTTCCCCTTTTTGAGATATTCTCAACGTTTGCTCCTGTGGGTTAGATGACTGGGTCAAATGATTTTTTTTTTTTTTTTGAGACAGTGTATCACTCTGTTACCCAGGCCAAAGTGCAATGGCATGACCTCAGCTCACTGCAACCTCCACCTCCCAGGTTCAAGCGATTCTCCTGCCTCAGCTTCCTGAGTAGCTGGGACTATAGGCGCACACTGTCACACCTGGCTAATTTTTGTATTTTTAGTAGAGATGAAGTTTTGGCATGTTGGCCAGACTGGTCTTGAATTCCTGACCTCAGGTGATTCACCCACCTCAGCCTCCCAAAGTGCTGAGATTACAGGCGTGACGCTCCGCGCACAGCCAAGATGAATTTTGTTGTTGTTCTTGTTACTTCCCATGATCTAGGCAGGTTTAGTCAAAAAGGATGCTGGCCACTTAGACATGAGTCAGACGGGCCAGAGCTGGGGGTTGAACAGTTGCGGAAGAGACTCAGTCAGCACAGCCCATAGGCTTGGCAGGCTGAGGATAATCAGGGTTGGCATCTGTGGGGATCGGGGAGGCTGTACCTCTTTGGCTACGTTCCTGGGGCAGCAAGACTAATTTGGAGCTCCATCTCCATTTGCTGGAGGGAGTGTGCTCCTGATGCCCTCCCTTCCCCAGTCAGGGCTGGCTCAGAAGCTCCATGCTGAGGGTCTCTGGAGACCCCAACTTGCAGGCGCTGATGTTGCTCTACCACTTTGTCGTCTCCCCAGAGGGTCTCCATGGCAACCTGTGTTTATCCAGCTCAAAATGAGAAGGTTCTCTCTCCTTTTGTTTCCACAGCTCTAATGTCTTGCTGGACCAAAATCTCACCCCCAAGCTTGCTCACCCAATGGCTCACCTGTGTCCTGTCAACAAAAGGTCAAAATACACCATGATGAAGACCCACCTGTTCCAGGCATCAGCCGCGTATCTGCCAGAGGATTTCATCCGGGTGGGGCAGCTCACGAAGCGAGTGGACATCTTCAGCTGTGGAATAGTAAGAGCGTCCTGCTCTGCGTAGGCTGGGGCTGTCCTTCTCACGGCTCCTTTGTAACCACAGAGTACAGTAGAGGCACACGGACACGTTCCATCAAAGTATAGCAGGCTGGCAAGCTGTGGCCCACAGGGCTCTTTTGTGTGGTCTGTGAGCTAAGAGTAGTTTTACATTTATGAAGGATTATATTTTTAAACTCAGAGAAGAATATGTGAGCCAGTTGTGGTGGCTCAAGCCTGTAATCCTGGCACTTACTGAGGTGGGTGGATCATGAGGCCAAGAGATTGAGACCATCCTGGCCAACATGGTGAAACCCCTTCTGTACTAAAAATACAAAAATTAGCTGGGCGTGGTGGCGTGCGCCTTAGTCCCAGCTATTTGAGGGGCTGAGGTAGGAGAATCACTTGAACCCAGGAGGCAGAGGTTGCAGTGAGCTGAGATTGCGCCATTGAACTCCAGCCTGGTGACAGAATGAGACTCCTTCTCAAAAAAAAAAAAAAAAGAAAAAAAGAAAAAAGGGCTGGGCGCGATGGCTCAAGCCTGTAATCCCAGCACTTTGGGAGGCCGAGGTGGGTGGATCACGAGGTCAAGAGATCAAGACCATCCTGGTCAACACGGTGAAACCCCGTCTCTACTAAAAATACAAAAAATTAGCTGGGCATGGTGGCGCGTGCCTGTAATTCCAGCTACTCAGGAGGCTGAGGCAGGAGAATTGCCTGAACCCAGGAGGCGGAGGTTGCGGTGAGCCGAGATTGCGCCATTGCACTCCAGCCTGGGTAACGAGCGAAACTCCATCTCAAAAAAAAAAAAAAAAAAAAAAAAAATGTGACAGAGACTGAATATGCTTCACAAAGGCTCACATATTTACTGTATGGCCTGTTACAGAAGAAATTTGCCAACCCTTGAAGGAAAACCGCTCATGAGAGTCCAGGTTCTAGTAGGCTACAAATATCCTCTCCTGACTTCCCTAATTCCCATCCAGCCATCCACTTGTCCATCCAGGTGTCTGTTTGTCCTTGTTTTTTCATTGCTGTCTGGTCATCCATCCAGCCTTCAGCTGCCCATCTATTCAGTGACCATCTTCCCACCCAGCACCCATCCCCACCACCACCACCATCCTTATCTGCCATTACGTCGTGCCAGGAACTAGGAATATGAATGTAACAAAAACACACTCTCTCCCCTCAGGAGCTCATGGTCTGCACGTAGCAGTCTCCAAAGTATCTTTCTGTAGAACACCGATTCCTTTGGATCTCTAGGATTGATGTGGTAAAAGGGTTTGTGCCCTGATAGGCTTGGAAATACTGCATTAGACAAAGTCAAGCAGGTTTCTTTACCACGAGATTAATTCAAGCTGGTAGGATGGTAATGAGCCTTTAATCTGGTACTTGTGAATTTACCACAGAGGGGGATGCAGTGTCTCCCAAACTCATTCGACTGTGGAACCTCGTTTTCTCAGAATATCTGTCCTCGTCAGTGTTCCATGGAACCCAGTCTGGGAAATGCTGGCTGAGAAGAGTGGCAGTCAGGTTGGCTTCTGCCTAGTGCATCCAGCTGCCCCTTGGGCCTCACCCTCTCTTCTCTAGCCTTGAACTGTGCACTTCCTCTCTCTGAACACAGTCTCCTGTCTGTCTATCTCTGCCACTATAACTGTAGCCCTGAGTCACCTCTGCCCTCAGCCAGTACCTCAGATTCTGCGCCCCTGTGTCTCCCAGCTGGTTCCTCTGCCTTCCTCAGCCCCACTGCAAGTTGTTCAGTGAAGCTCAGCGGGGCTAGTCCAGGCTCCTGCTCCTTTAAGAACCAGGGGGATGGAACCCGTAGGGCCAGCTCAGTTACTTTCAGCTGTATGACCTACACCCAGCACCGGTATCTCTGGGCCTCAGTTATGTCTTTTGCAAGGTTGGGTTAACAATGCATGTGGAGATGAATGGAATAATGTATATAAACTGGTGAGCACAGTACCCTGCACCTACCAAGAATATGATGATGACTGTGCTTATTGTTATTCCTACCTTTACACCCTCCTTCTGATAGCTGTTTACTCTCGACCTTCTAACTGTGCTGTTGGTGTCACAGATGACTTCCTTATCCATCCATTCACCTTCCCACCCATCCCATCCACCCACCCACCCATTCCCCCACGCATCCATCCTCCCACCCACCTACCCATCCATCCACCCACCCACCCATTCCCCCACGCACCCATCCTCCCACCCACCTACCCATCCATCCACCCACCCATCCATCCATCCACCCACCCATCCATCCATCCATCCTCTCACCCACCCACCCACCCACCCATCCATCCATCCATCCATCCACCTACCCACACATCCACCCATTTATCCATCCATCTACCCACCCACCCATCCATCCATTCATTCATTGAGTGCCCACTGGTTCCTGCTACCCTTTTGCTAAGTCCTGTCTCTGGTTGACTGATACGCTTTTGAACTTTGGTTCTTCCTGTGGGGAGCACAGTGCCTTGCTCAGTGTTTTTTGATGAGCGCTAAATGACCTCTATAAAGGACTTGACTCAGAGCCTGCCCTGTGGGAAGAGGCACAGGAACTCTTTGTTTATTCACATCCGCTTGTTCCTTCCCTTCCTGGCAGTGACGAGTCAGGAGTCCCTTTTCAATTGACTCCTGTCCTGCTTGCTGCAGTGGTGCCCTCTGCTGCCCCCTTCTGGCCACTGCCAGTCTGCTATTAATCCTGGGTGGTTTCAAACCTTTTATCTTTTCCTTCCTTCAGGCTTGGAGGGATTCTTGGCGATAAACAGGACCCTATTATGACTTTCGAGAGATGCTGTGGAAGAGAGATTCCATACTAAATGTGGGGTATTCATGCCTTTAATATTCACGACTGCTAGTCTCCATTTAAAGATGAGGACACTGAGGCTCAGGTTTTAGTTATGTGCTAAAGATCACCTGAGCATGTAAGGAACGGAGTCAGAATTTGAACTCAGGCCTGACTGTAGAGCCCTTAACCGTCATGCTGTTTTCTCCTGAGAAACCCTGTTCAAAGCAGGTTTTCTCATTTATTAAGACGTACATCATGGTTTGTCCCATTTTGTGGTGACTTACATGGATACAGGGCTGTGCTACTTCTGCGAGTGGATGCATTAATGAAAAAATAATGTTGGGCCGGGCGCGGTGGCTCAAGCCTGTAATCCCAGCACTTTGGGAGGCCGAGGCGGGTGGATCACGAGGTCAAGAGATCGAGACCATCCTGGTCAACATGGTGAAACCCCGTCTCTACTAAAAATACAAAAAATTAGCTGGGCATGGTGGCGCGTGCCTGTAATCCCAGCTACTCGGGAGGCTGAGGCAGGAGAATTGCCTGAACCCAGGAGGCGGAGGTTGCGGTGAGCCGAGATCGCGTCATTACACTCCAGCCTGGGCAACAAGAGCGAAACTTTGTCTCAAAAAAAAATAATAATAAAAATAAATAATGTTAATAAAGGCCTGACAGTGAAACATGCTATGGATACTGTGACATTTGTCTAGAATACATACCTGCCTGCACGCAGATGCCTTCTTTCCCTGAGATTGACACAGCAATGCCTGCTTGCCATAGCTGAAGGATTTTTATTTTATTTATTTATTTAAACTGGGGTCTTGCTATATTGCCCAGGCAGGTCTCAAACTCCTGGGCTCAAGCTATCCTCCCGCCTCTGCCTCCCTAAGAGCTGGGATTATAGGCATGAGCCACAGCGCCTGGCCGGCTGAAGGATTTTTAAACAAAATAATCTTTAAAAAATAGTGTGTATATATGTGTGCATATATCTGTATCTGTTGATATCTGTATCTATACCTATATATATCTTATGGTAATACACATAAACACAGACATACACAAACACGAATTTTTGAGAACCATCTTCCCTGCCTGGCTATCAGTTAATTACAACCTTCTACTGGTAGCTAGATGGCATCTTTAATTGGGAGGTGTTTAGTGATATTCCCACGTGGGCAGGTGTGTCTGCTGGCAATGAAGAGTAGCACCTAGAGCTCAGACTTTGCAACTGAGAAGACAGAATCTGCTGCCTGGCCGTGTGCACCAGAGTCTGAACCATGCTAACTCATGTTCTGTTCTCTCCAGGTGTTGGCTGAGGTCCTCACAGGCATCCCTGCGATGGATAACAACCGAAGACCAGTTTACCTGGTAAGGGAACTTGTCACATCTGGCTGGGTGGTATATTTGGGCCTCACAGCTCTGTGGGTAGAGAGGCAAGTGACCTCACCTCTGGCTAGTTTTACACAGCTAACGAGGCCTGGTCTAAGGTTCCATATGCATCCCCACAAAGTAGCTGTAACCTCCCATCTCCACCTGCCAGCCAGCCATTGCCTTTTCATGATCATAGCATTTGGGGCTTGGTGCTGTGGGTCATGCCTGTGATCCCAGCACTTTGGGAGGCTAAGGTGGCCTGATCATTTGAGATCAGGAGTTCTCCATACCAGCCTGGCCAACATGGTGAAACCCTGTCTCTATTAAAAAAACAAACAAACAAACAAAAAACTTACAGAAAAACCTCAAAATTGTCCAGATGTAGTAGCATGCACTTGTAATCCCAGCTACTTGGGAGGTTGAGGCAGGAGAATCATTTGAGCCTGGGAGGCAGAGGTTGCAGTGAGCCGAGATCATGTCACTGCACTCCAGCCTTCCAGCCTGGGTGACAGAGTGAGACTCCATCTCAAAAAAAAAAAAAAAAAAAGGTTAAAAAAAAGAATTTATCAGGCAATTAGGGATTTTCCTTAAATAGATAAAAATTTTAGCCCTTTTAAACAAGTTTCTTTTCTTTTTCTTTTCTTTTTTTTTTTTTTTTTTTTGAGACAGTCTCACTCTGTAACCAGGCGCCAGGCTGAAATGCAGTGGCACGATCTTGGCTCACTGCAACTCGGCCTCCCGGGTTCAAACAATTATCCTGTCTCAGCCTCCTGAGTAGCTGGGACTACAGGTGCGCGCCACCATGCCCAATTAAGTTTTGTATTTTTAGTAGAGACAGGGTTTCACAATGTTGGCCAGGATGGTCTTGATCTCTTGAGTTCGTGATCTGCCCGCCTCGGCCTCCCAGATTGCTGGGATTACAGGCGTGAGCCACCACGCCGGGCCACAAGTTTCTATAATAAAAGGAATTTCCATTTTGTAAGCCAAAGATCTGATATACATTGTCATTTAAAAAATATAACAACCTGGCTGGGTGTGGTGGCTCATGTCTCTAATCCCAGTACTTTGGGGAAGGCCAAGGTGGGCAGATCACTTGAGGCCAGGAGTTCGAGACCAGCCTGGGCAACATGGTGAAACCCCGTGTGTATTAAAAATACAAAAATTAGCCTGGTGTGGTGGCACAAGCCTGTAATCTCAGCTACTTGGGAGGCTGAAGCCAAGAATCACTTGAACCCAGAAGATGGAGGCTGCAGTGAGCTGAGATTGCACCACTGCACTCCAGCCTGGGTAACAGAGTGAGACCCTGTCTCAAAAAAGAATTAAAATATAACAACCTAGCCGGACTTTGTATTAAGTACTTTCTATACATTACCTTTATAAATCATCTCAGCTTTTCCATGATAAAGTCATTATGTTCATCTGCAGATGAGGAAAGCTGGCTCTGAGGTTGGCCTGGCATCTTGGTTGGAGTTACCAAGTGTCAGAGATGGAATTCTGAGTCAGATCTCCCTGACCCAAGATCCTGAGTTCTTAACCACAGCAGTCTCCTGCCTGTTTCTTGTGACAGTCCAACCATACAAATTCAGTATTATCATCCCCATTTACAGCTGAGAAAACTGAGGCCAAGCTGAAGTGACCCTCGGTGAGATCAGTGGTGGAACTGGGATTTAATTGAACCCATGGCTTCTGCAGAGTTGCAAATCTCACGAAAGCTCTAGTTTTCTTCATCAGTTTGAGAGGGGCCACCTTTTCCTACTAGATGTTGAGGCCATTGGAACAGACAGATTTTTCTTTTTCTGGTGACTGGGCCCCTGGGCTCTGGAGTAGGGAGGCTGAAGACCTCCCCACTACATGCAGAAAGTCATGACATGTCCTTTTGCTGAAGTTCACCCCTTTTGGGCAGTCAACGTCATATGCTGCAGAGAGGTCTGTCTGGGCAGCTCAGATGTGATTTGGGCCGTTTTGGGGCAGTTTCCCATCTCTTGACTGTTTTCTTGAAATGCATTTCCCAGCAGTCCTCTGGGGCTCCCCAGACAAGTGTCAAAGGAGGCTTTTTGAGGCACTGACATGAAATCGTCTAGATTTTTTTTTTTTTTTTTGAGACGGAGTTTCGCCCTTGTTACCCAGGCTGGAGTGCAATGGTACAATCTCGGCTCACCGCAACCTCTGCCTCCTGGGCTCAGGCAATGCTCCTGCCTCAGCCTCCTAAATAGCTGGGATTACAGGCACACGCCACCATGCCCAGCTAATTTTTTGTATGTTTAGTAGAGATGGGGCTTCACCATGTTGACCAGGATGGTCTCGATCTCTCGACCTCGTGATCCACCCGCCTCGGCCTCCCAAAGTGCTGGGATTACAGGCTTGAGCCACCGCGCCCGGCTTTTTTTTTTTTTTTTTTGGCTAATGATTTCTAAAAATGTAGAAAATAACGATTTTTAAAAATTTAGTTTATTTCTCTTCCTCTAGACTCTCTTATAGTCTCTTATCATGTTCTGTTGTGGTAAGTGCAATCTGATGATTAACCAAGATTTGAATCAGGGAGGAAAGCTTGCTGACTTCCTGTGGCCCAGGGTAGGAGGAAGCAGGTCTCCCCCAGGCTCAGGAAAGTGTTCGTTGCAACGGTGTTTCCTGAGGAGATTTGATGGTTTCCAGCAAAATTAAAAATATGGGCACCGTCCATTTAAGCCTAGAGAAACATGCAGACAGGTCAGGAGAGACACATGAACAAGGATATTTGTAGTAACATATTTTTTTTTCAAGACAGAGTCGCCCTCTGTCGCCCAGGCTGAGTACAGTGGCGTGATCTTGGCTCACTGCAACCTCTGCCCCCGGGGTTCAAGTGATTCTCCTCCCTCAGCCTCCCCGGTAGCTGGGACGACAGGAGCATGTCACCTCGCCCAGCTAATTTTTGTATATTTTTTAGTAGAGGCAGGGTTTCACCATGTTGGCTAGGTTGACTTCGAACTCCTGACATCAGTCAGGTGATCCACCTGCCTCAGCCTCCCAAAGTGTTGGGCTTACAGGAGGGAGGCACTTTGCCTGGCCAAATTTAATTTAACTTGATTTAGACAGGGGTCTTGCCCTGTCACCCAGGCTGGAGTGCAGTGGCATGATCGTTGCTCACTGCCACCTCGAACTCCTGGGCTCAAGGGATCTTACCACCTTAGCCTCCCGACTAGCTGGAATTATAAGCATGAGTCACTGTGCCTGGGATCTGACAGGGTTATTGAAGGTTAAATATGTGACATGTGTAAAATAATGACTAGAACATAATAAACATAATGTATGTTAATAATTATTATTATCATTGTTATTTGAGATAAGGTCTCTGCCACCCAGGCTAGCATGTAGCGGTGCAGTCATGGCTCACTGTAACCTTGAATTCCTGGCCTCAAGTGATCCTCCCACTTTAGCCTCCCAAGTAATTGGGACCACAGGCATGTGCCACCACTCCTAGCTAATTCGTATTTTTATTTTATTTATTTATTTTTTATTATTTTGAGACAGTCTCACTCTGTCGCCCAGACTGGAGTATAGCAGCGCAGTCTCGGCTCACTGCAGCCTCCAGCTTCTGGCTTCAAATGATTCTCCTGCCTCAGCTTCTCCAATAGCTGGGATAACAGGCATGCAACAACATGCCCAGCTAATTTCTGTATTTTAAGTAGAGACAGGCCAGGCTGGTCTTGAACTCCTGATGTCAAGTGATCCACTTGCCTCCGCGGCCTCCCAGGTAACTGGAACCACAGGAATGTGCCCTCACACCCAGCTAATTTTTAATTTTTTTTTTAAAGAGACGGGGTCTCACTATGTTGCTCAGGCCGGAGTGTGTTGGTTATTCACAGGCGAGATCCCACTACTGATCAGCAAAGGAGTTTTGACCTGCTCCGTTTTCAATCTGGGCCAGTTCACTCCTCCTTAGGCAACCTGGTGGTCCCCCACTCCTGGGAGGTCACCATATTGTTGCCAAACTTAGTGCGGACGCCCGATCAGCATAGTGCACTACAGCCCAGAACTCCTGGACTCAAGCGATCCTCTCACCTCAGCCTCCCGAGTAGCTGGGACTACAGGCATGCCCCACTGCACCCCGCAATGTTTTTTTTTTGTTGTTTTTTTTTAGATGGAGTCTCACTCTGTCACCCAGGCTGGAGTGCAGTGGCGTGATCTTGGCTCACTGCAACTTCCGCCTCCCAGGGTCAAGTGATTCTCCTGACTCAGCCTCCTGAGTAGCTGAGACTACAGACACATGCCATCACACCTGTCTAATTTTTTATTTTTAATAGAAACAGAGTTTCACCATGTTGGCCAGGCTGGTCTCGAACTCCTGACCTCATATTATCCTCCCGCCTTGGCCTCCCAAAGGGCTGGGATTATAAGTGTGAGCCACTGTGCCCAGCCATTTAAAATTTTTAATTTGTAGAGACGGAGTCTTGTTATATTGTCCAGGCTGATATTGCTATTATTTTAATAGCTCTTAGGATACTATTTTAATTATTACATAAGTAAATATATAACCAAAATAATTATATCTGTATACCAGAAAGTATTATAATGAAAATTATTAGCAAGGGTTACCTTTGGAGTGTAGAAATGAAGAGAAAGGTAAACTTTTGCCCCCAATTTTAACCACTTATGTTTAATTTTAATTTTTTTTTTTTTGAGACAGAGTCATGCTCTGTCACCAGGCGCCAGGCTAGAGTGCAGTGGCATGATCTCAGCTAACTGCAACCTCCGCCTCCTGGGTTCAAGCAATTCTCCTGCCTCAGCCTCCTGAGTAGCTGGGACTGCAGGCACACGCCACCACACCCAGCTAATTTTTGTATTTTTAGTAGAGATGGGGTTTCACCATATTGGCCAGGATGGTCTCCATCTCTTGACCTCGTGATCCACCCGCCTTGGCCTCCCAAAGTGCTGGGATTACAGGCTTGAGCCACTGCGCCTGGTCCCTATTTTTGTTTTTATATGGAGATGGGACCTACGCTTTTTTGCCCAGGCTGGTTTTGAACTCCTGGGCTCAAGCATTCTGCCTGCCTCAGCCTCCCAAAGTGCTGAGATTACAGGCGTGAGCCACCACACCCGGCCATGGTTATGTTTCTTAAGACTCTTAACGTCTTACAACCTCTCCTGCAATGCCCTTTTTCATTTTGGATGTTGTTGCATTTTTGCATAGAATGGGTCATTTGCCTTATATAGACAGACTGTCTCACATCCTGGGTTTTGCTGATTACATTCTGTGGTCTCCTTTCCTTGTTTCTCTATTCCTCATATTTCCTGTATTTGCCAGTTAGCCGTTGTGACTTGTTTAGAGCCATGATCAATGCCTTTGTCAAGAACACTCTTCCTAGAGGCGCTGTGAGCCTCCCATTGCTTCACTACAAGGGGCGCGTAGCCTGTTGTCCTACTTTTAGTGCTAAGACTTGGCCGGGCGCGGTGGCTCAAGCCTGTAATCCCAGCACTTTGGGAGGCCGAGGCGGGTGGATCACGAGGTTGAGAGATCGAGACCATCCTGGTCAACATGGTGAAACCCCGTCTCTACTAAAAATACTAAAAATTAGCTGGGCATGGTGGCGCATGCCTGTAATCCCAGCTACTCAGGAGGCTGAGGCAGGAGAATTGCCTGAACCCAGGAGGCGGAGGTTGCGGTGAGCCGAGATCGCGCCATTGCACTCCAGCCTGGGTAACAAGAGCGAAACTCCGTCTCAAAAAAAAAAAAAAAAAAAAAAAGACTGATCAGTGTATTCAGGTTTTGGTGCTAAGATTGATCAGTGGTTTCAGGTGGAGCTGTGAACTCCTTCATGGTGAAGTTCCCCCGACATCGTTTAATCATGGGTTCTCAGTACCCCCAACCCCTGTTTAAACACCAGGTGTCTTCAGTACTTTCTTTGATGATCATCATAGTCTTTGCATGAAGATACATAGCAATGATGGCAGGTTTCCAGTTGGAGCAAGTTGTGAGACCCTACCTCTAGAAAAAAAGAAAATAATAAACTTCTGCTGTTCTTAATAATCAGTTTTAAACACTAGTATTTTTTTAAAAGATAAACATTTAAGTTGGCCACAGTGGCTCACACCTATAATCTGAGCACTTTGAGATATCAAGGCAGGAGGATTACTTGAGCCCAGAAGTTCAAGACCAGTCTGGGCAACATGTTGAGACCTCATCTCTACAAAAAATCAAAAAGTTAGCCAAGTACAGTGGTATGTGCCTGTAGTCCCAGCTACTTGGGAGGCTGAGGAGGGAGGACTGATTGAACTGAGAAGGTTGAGACTGTGGTGAGCTGTGATTATATTACTGTGCCTAGACTATTTTTAAGAGTTTAAATGCAAAACCAGAATATAGAGAATGTGGTAAATATAGGAAAGTACGAACAATAAAATAGAGGGTTAGGCATGGTGGCTTATGCCTGTAATCTCACTACTTTGGGAAACCAAGGCAAGAGTATATAGCTTGAGGCCAGGAGTTTGAGACCAGCCTGGACGACATAGTGAAACTCTGTCTCAACAAAAAATACAAAAGTTAGCCAGGCATTGTGGTGCATGCTGACAGTCCTAGCTACTCTGGAGACTGAGGCAGGGGATTGCTTGAGCCTGGGAATTCGAGGTTACAGTGAGCCATGATCACGTCACTGTACTCCAGCCTGGGAAACAGAGTAAGACCCTGCCTCTAAAAAACAAAAAAAAATAGAAATCACTCCTGAAGATACAACTACTAATATTTGGCAACCTGCCCACTGGTCTTTATTTTGTGTATGTATATAGAGAGATAGTTTGTATTACCTATATATTTACATTTTATTTACAGCATGGATTTTCATCAGATTTTTGTATCTTATGTAGATGAAATATGCAATATATGTAATGCATACAGCATATGGTATGTAACACATAAAGTACATTGAAATACTTATATATAAAGTTATATTATTTACATGTGAAACCATATAAAATACTATATATTTTATAACATATAGTTATAAATATGCACATCGATGACATTTTATTTCATATTTTAATTAAAAAAATTTTTTTTAACACATTGGTGTTCTCTGTGATTCTAGCCAGATATAACATTATTTTAAAAGTACACAAAACATTATATATGACAAACATGTATGAATGTATAAAAATTATATATAAATGTTATATTATTTATACAAATATACTAGAAATATTTCATGGTAATATAATTATATAATAGATTAATACACTATAACTGTCCATAGTATCCATAATTATATTACATATTAATTTTCTTACAATATATTTAACTTTTAGTATATTTAAGCTTGCTCTTCTCTCTCTATATATGTGTATATATATAAAACAGGTTTTTTTTCCCCTGAGATAGAATCTTGCTTTGTTGCCCAGGCTGGAGTGCAGTGGCACCATCTCGGCTCACTCCAACCTCTGCCTCCCGGGTTCAAGCAATTCTTGTGCCCCAGCTTCCTGAGTAGCTGGGATCACAGGTGCATGCCACCATGCCCAGCTAATTTTTTTTTTGTATTTTTAGTAGATATGAGGTTTAACTATCTTGGCCAGGCTGGTCTCGAACTTCTGACCTCAAGTGATCTGCCTGCCTTGGCCTCCCTGTAAAGGGATTACAGGTGTGAGGCACTGCGCCTGGCCTACAGTACATTTTTTTTACAGTATTAAACACAGTGTATTTGTAACATTTATATATATGCTAATCATATATACCATATTATTCATGAAATATACAACATATAACTTAAATAAATATACTTACATATTTGTATAAAATTATTTATATAGCATATATTCTATTGTATGCATAGTTCAGATTCCTGCATTTTATGTCATACAAAATATAAAATATATGTAAATATAAAATGTATAAAAAGTATCAATAGACATAATATTTTCTTTATAGTAGCTGTCCTGTTATGTATACATAGGTCAGAATCCTGTATTTGAAATGTTTATATCATAAGAGATTGTCCATTTATTTGTTAATAAGATTATGTAAGTGCTCATCATGTAGTAAGTACCATATAAATGGTAACTATTATTACTGTTAGTTATTATCACTAAAAGACTATTGAATATTCCATGTCAGGTGTTAGTCTTTGTGCTTTAGGTGCACTGTTTTATTTAATGGTGTGTTAGTCCTAGGTGTAGTTATTTTATGTTTTTTTTTAAGACAGAATTTCCCTGTCGCCGAGGCTGGAGTGCAGTGCCGTGATCTCCGCCCACCCTCCCTCTGGGTTCAAGCAATTCCTCTGCCTCAGCCTCCCTAGCAGCTGGGATTACAGGCGTGTGCTACCACGGCCAGCTATTTTGTATTTTTAGTAGAGACGGGGTGTTGCCATGTTGGCCAGGCTGGTCTCGAACTCCTGACCTCAAGTGATCCACCTGCCTTAGCCTCCCAGAGTGCTGGGATTACAGGCATGAGCCACCATGCCTGGCCCTGGTGTAGGTATTTTCGTTCCTATTTTCCTGACGAACCAGCAAAGGCCTGGAAAAATTAAGAACTCGTATTTGTGACATGAGTTCACTATGGAGTGTCCTGTGCATATAAGAAATTGAGTCCTTCTCCATTTCTTGGGTGTTTCACTTCTTTCTGAAATCCTTGCATTTATTCTTACAAGATCCTGCTGCTTTTCCGAGCATTTTTTTTGCAGCTCTGGAGGTGAGTGGGGCACGTGCGTTGGCTCTCGCAGACCAGCAGCTCACACAAGGGCGTTTCCACACTTCTTCCCACAGAAGGATTTACTCCTCAGTGAAATTCCAAGCAGCACCACCTCGCTTTGGTCCAGGGAGACGGACGTGAAGAAGGTGATGGCAAAGGAGATCTGCCAGAAATACCTGGAGAAGGGTGCGGGAAGGCTGCCCGAGGACTGCGCCGAGGCCCTGGCTATGGCCGCCTGCCTGTGCCTGCGGAGGCGCAACGCCAGCCTGCAGGAGGTGAGCCTCGCTGGCAGTGGCCTAGTGCCTGTGCGGGTGGGACCGCCTCATCCGGACGGCCCCTTCACAGAGGCCTGGTGCACAAACCATGGCTGTGTTTGCTTGCAAGCAGCAGAACCTCCCGGAGCTCTCATCAGCTACAGGCCGTATAGGGATGGATAGTGAGGACCCTAAGGACAAGGGAGGTGCAGGGCCTCAGGGTGCAGGACCAAGCCCGTGGGTGGTAACAGAACTCCCTGTGAATCGGCTTTGTTCCCCCTTCCGTACAGGAGCCTTCTCCTTTCCTGCATGCTCTCTGGTATGGAACGGCTCTGCCCGCAGGTTATAATGGAGAGAATGAGCCTCCATCCTGTGTCCCACGGCAGGGGGAGAACCTGATTGGCTGAACTCAGGTCAGGTGTCCACCGCTTGGCCAATCAGGCATGGTGTGGCGGGTCCAGCATGAAAACTTGGCTGCCCAAGGCTCCCTCCCTGGATGGTGTCCAGAATCTCGCTCTGTCCCCTAGGCTGGAGTGCAGTGGTGCAGTCTCTGCTCACCGCAATCTCCATCCCTTGGGTTCAAGCAGTTCTCCTGCCTCAGCCTCCTGAGTAGCTAGGACTACAGGCGTGCACCATCACACCCAGTTACTTTTTGTATTTTTAGTAGAGTCGGGGTTTCACTATGTTGGCCAAGCTGCTCTAGACCTCTCGACCTCCTGACCTCAGATGATCTGCCTGCCTTGGCCTCCCAAAGTGTTGGGGTTACAGGCGTGAGCCACTGTGCCTGGGCTCACTAAGGGTTTTAAGGAGAGGTAGAACATAATCAGGTTTATATTCTGAAAAGATCTGTCTCCTTCAACCAATTATTCTTTCAGTAAGACTTTATTCCCTTCTTGGCGCAGTTTTCAGCTATGTTCAGAAAAAAAAAAAAAAAAAGACTTTAATCCTTTTATTCATGCCATTATTTTATTCAATGTATCACTTCAGGTGGAGGTGAAACTACTATAACAGAAAAAGTGCAAAATGCAGTGGTTTAAACAAGATACATGGCTGTTCTCTGTAGTGTAACAGTTTGAATTTGCCCAGTCCAGTGCTAATGTGGCAGTGCCATGGTATTGGGGACCCAGGCTCCTTCTATATTGTTGCTCTGCTATACTTACCATGTGGCTTCCGTTTCAGGGTCTAAGATGGCTGCTCTTACCCAGGCCATCACACCTGCATTCCAGCCAGTGAAAGAGGGATAAAAGAAAGAGGTGGACACACTCCCTTTCTTTTAAAGATGTGATCTGGAAATGCATTTTTCTCACATAATGGAGAGCAGAAACTAGTTACATGGCCTCATCTAGCTACAAGGAAATGCAGTCTTTAGCTTGACAAATATCTACTGTAAAGATTTATCTTAAGAAATAACATGTGGGCCGGGCACGGTGGCTCAAGCCTGTAATCCCAGCACTTTGGGAGGCCGAGGCGGGTGGATCACGAGGTCAAGAGATCGAGACCATCCTGGTCAACATGGTGAAACCCCGTCTCTACTAAAAATACAAAAAAAGTAGCTGGGCATGGTGGCGTGTGCCTGTAATCCCAGCAACTCAGGAGGCTGAGGCAGGAGAATTGCCTGAACCCAGGAGGCGGAGGTTGCGGTGAGCCGAGATCGCGCCATTGCACTCCAGCCTGGGTAACAAGAGCGAAACTCCATCTCAAAAAAAAAGAAAAAAAGAAAAAAAGAAATAACATGTGGCCGGGTGCGGTGGCTCAAGTCTGTAATCCCAGCACTTTGGGAGGCCGAGGCGGGTGGATCACGAGGTCAAGAGATCGAGACCATCCTGGTCAACATGGTGAAACCCCATCTCTACTAAAAATACAAAAAATTAGCTGGGCATGGTGGCGCGTGCCTGTAATCCCAGCTACTCAGGAGAATTGCCTGAACCCAGGAGGCGGAGGTTGCGGTGAGCCGAGATCACGCCATTGCACTCCAGCCTGGGTAACAAGAGCGAAACTCCGTATCAAAAAAAAAAAAAAAAAAAAAGAAATAACATGTGACCTGGGTCTTGAAGGATGAGAGGGTTGCCATGTAGAATAAAGGGGATAGGGCACTTTAGGTATACAAAGAGGTAGGAGACGGCCTTTGCTCTTAGTAGATCACAACCAAGCTAGGAAGATGAGAGACCAGCTGGGTCAGGGACCAGACGAGAAGCAGGCCTGGGTTTGGGGGTCACCTTTGCCATTTAGTGGACTGGCTGGGTGGCTTTAGGCAGGGAACTTTTCTGACCTTTTAGTTTTTTATCTATAAAAGCTCATGCATTGTGTATGAAATGGATACATTAGTATACTGAATTTTTTGCAAGGCACTGAGATGAGATTTGTTATTGTTATTATGGGTATATGTGTGTGTGCTTTATGTGTGTGTATGAAGAAGAAACATTCCTTCCTTGCTTCCGTCTAATTTTCCTAACCTCTCTAACCAGAAAAACCTTCCAGGGCAAAATCTATATTATTTGTGTTTTTCTGATTGAAAGTGTTAGGAACTTAAACTCTTACACACTCTCTCTGTCTCACACACACACTTACATGTGCACACACACAGACAAAGGGAGAGGGGAAGAATATGAATGAGTGAATTAGTGAATGAAGGAACTTAGTGGCTCATTTAACCAAACAGCAGAGAGGACAGGCATTGCGTTGGTTTCAGGGAAGTTAGACCCACGGTCTCAAACACCATAGGTACAGCCATCATGTCTCTGTGTCTGTGGCTCTCTCTTTCTCTGTTGCTTGCCTCTGCTTTATTCTGTGTTGAGCTTGTATTTTCCCCTACTGTAAATTGGTTTTCTGAGTGTGGTGGGGCATCTGGTTCTACCACTAGGTGGAAAAGTTTCAGGGAAGAATTCTGATTGGCCTGCTTGGATCACATGCCCAAATGTAGACTAATCCCTATGGCCAGAGGAGTGGGGTATATGATCAGCCCATGTTGGGTAGTATCGTTTCATCTATGGCAGGGCAGGTGGTGGGCAAGTGCAGGTCTTTTCAAAGGAATGGTGCTGCTTTTTCAGACAAAGCAACCAGCATTTGGTTCTCCAGTCTGCCCCTGGCCTCCTCTTTGCTGGGAGGCCAGGTGTTAGCATTTTTATTTCAGAGAGAATTCCTGATGAGCTCCCTTGTCGCTCTTCTCCCAAAGGTGCGTGGCTCTGTAGCTGCTGTTGAAGAGCGGCTCCGAGGTCAGGAGACCTTGCTCCATTGGAGTGGGCTTTCTGAGGCTACAGGCTCTTCTTCCAACACCCCAGAGGAAACAGACGATGTGGACAATTCCAGCCTTGATGCCTCCTCCGTGAGTGTGGCACCCTGGGCCGGGGCTGCTGCCCCACTTCTCCCCATGCAGAATGGGGAAGGAAGGCTGCGGGCCATCGTGGGAAGGGAGGCCGACTCCTCCTCTGAGGCCTGTGTTGGCCCAGAACCTCCCCAGGATGGTAAGCTGGAGGTCGGAGTGCATATAGATGCTCATGTGTGTCCCCCCCAACTTCAGGCCATCATTTTTTCTTTCTGTTACCCTCATTCACTCCTTCATTTGGTTATTCAGCCCTTCACCAACCAGCCAGTTTTTCACAGAGAAACCTCGGAGGCATCCTTGACACCTCCCTTCCCTCACTGCCCTGGACCATGTCCAGTCAATCACCCAGTCCTGTCCATTTGCCTCCTAAATCTCTCTCACCTTCATCTACTTCTTTCTCTGCATTCCCCCTTCGTCTGAGCTTCTGTCCTCAGGGGATTGTACAGCCTCCCAGAGTCCTCCTCCATCCACTCGGGCCCCTCCCTCACCAGGTCCTTCTCCAGGAGCCAGCCAGAGTAGTTTTTAAAAACACAAGGTGAGCCAGGCTTGGTGGTTCACGCCTGTAATCCCAGCACTTTGGGAGGCTGAGGTGGGTGGAACAGCTGAGGTCAGGAGTTTGAGACCAGCCTGGCCAACATGGCGAAACCCCGTTTCTACTAAAAATAAAAAAAATTAGCCAGGTATGGTGGCGTGTGCCTGTAATCCCAGCTACTCGGGAGACTGAGGCAAGAGAATAGCTTGAACCTAGGAGGCGGTGGTTGCAGTGAGCCGAGATCGCACCACTGCACTCCAGCCTGGGTGACAGAACGAGACTCCGTCTCACAACAAAACAAAACAAAAAACACAATGCATGTCATCCCTTGTTTAAAGTCCTCAAGGCCCCATGTGCTCTGTTCCTGTCTGCCTCTTTATCCTCACTTTACAACACAAACACCATCCTGACCAGTCACTTCTAAAGATACCTCCCAGACTGGGTGTGGTTGCTCACGCCTGTATCCCAGCACTTTGGGAGGCTAGGGTGAGTGAATCACCTGAGGTCAGGAGTTCAAGACCAGTTTGGCCAACTTGGTAAAACCCCATCTCTACTAAAAATATAAAAATTAGCCAGGTATGGTGGCAGGTGCCTGTAGTCCCTGCTGCTCGGGAGGCTGAGGCATGAGAATCTGAACCCGGGAGGCGGAGGTTGCAGTGAGCCAAGATCATGCCATTGCACTTCAACCTTGGGCAACAGAGTGAGACTCTGTTTCAAAAAAAAAAAAAAAAAAAAAAAAAAACCAGCCAGGCATGGTGGCTCATGCCTTTAATCCTAGCACTTTGGGAGGCCAAGGTGGGTGGATCATCTGAGGTTGGGAGTTCAAGACCAGCCTGACCAACATGGAGAAACCCCATCTCTACTAAAAATACAAAATTAGCTGGGCATGGTGGCACGTGCCTGTAATCCCAGCTACTTGGGAGGCTGAGGCAGGAGAATCATTTGAACCCAGGAGCCAGAAGACTGCGGTAAACCAAGATTGTGCCATTGCAACCCAGCCTGGGCAACAAGAGCAAAACTCTGTCTCAAAAAAAAAAAAAGAAGATGATACTTTTGGTTGGGTGGCTCACACCTGTAATCCCAGCACTTTGGGAGGCCAAGGTGGGCAGATCATAAGGTCAGGAGTTCGAGACCAGCTTGGCTTGGTGAACCCCCACTCCCGCCCCCGCCCCCGCCCCCACCCCCGCCCCCGCTCCCACTCTCCACTAAAAATTCAAAACTTAGCCAGGTGTGGTGGCAGGTGCCTGCAATGCCCAGTGTGGTGGCAGGTGCCTGTAATCCCAGCTACTTGGGAGGCTGAGGCAGAATTGCTTGAACCTGGGAGGCAGATCTCAGGAAAATTAAAAAAAAAGATACCTTCCATTCCTGCCATTCAGGTCCAAGGATACCAGGTTTCTTTCTGAAATTAAAAAAAATGGAATGCCCTTTCAATGCAGTGTCCCTGTCCCTTAGTAAACATGGTTCAATGAATGTCCCAGGCTCTGATCACTCCTGTTTCTCCTTTTACTCCTCTTGTCATGGGGAGGGGAGAGGAAGAAGAAAGACAGGATGTGAACATTTTTTTTCACTCCACCCTCCCACCCCTCAACACCATAAAGAGGAACAGGGAAACCCTCTCCTTTCTGGAAGGTCAGGGTAGATTGCAGGGCTTCCTGCAAAGGCAGAGGAGATGAAAATGCTTATTACAACTGGGCACAGTGACTCGTGCCTGTAATCCTAGTACTTTGGGAGGCTGCGGTGGGCAGATTGATTGAGTCCAGGAGTTAAAGATCAGCCTGGGCAACATAGTGAAAACCCATCTCTGCAAAAGATGCAAAAATTAGCCAGATGTGGCTGGTCAGGCCTATAATCCCAGCACTTTGGGAGACTGAGTCAGGTGGATCCCTTGAGGTCAGGAGTCGAAACTAGCCTGGCCAACATCATGAAACCCTGTCTCTACTAAGAATATATGTATATAAAAAATAGAAAATTAGCTGGGTGTGGTGGTGCACATCTATAATCACAGCTACTTGGAAGGCTGAGACAGGAGAATCGCCTGAACCCAGGAGACGGAAGTTGCAGTGAGCAGAGATTGCTCCAGCCTGGGCAACAGAGTGAGACTCTGTCTGAAAAAAAAATATTAGCTGGGCACAGTGGCTCAGGCCTGTAAGCCTAGCACTTTGGGAGACTGAGGCAGGTGGATTACTTAAGCTCAGGAGTTTGAGAGTACTCTGGGCAACACTGTGAGACCCCATCTCTACTAAAATGCAAAAAAATTAGCTGAGTGTGGTGATGTGCACCTGTAATCCCAGTTCCTTGAGAGGCTGAGGCAGGAGAATTGCTTGAACCTGGGAGGTGGAGGTTGCAGTGAGCAGAGATTGCACAATTGCGCTCCAGCCTGGGCAAGAGTGAGACCCTATCTCAAAAAAAAAAAAAGAAAAAGGAAAAAGAAAAGAAAGGGGAACAAAAGAGAAATGCGCATTACACTCAGGACCTGATTCAGAAACCTGATTTAAGTGAATCTAAGAATTATAATGATAGTAGCTTTCATGCAAGTCGCTCTTCTTTCCTTTCTGTTAAGCATCAGCTACAGAGGCTTCGTGGCAAATTGAAATCAATGAGGCCAAAAGGAAACTGATGGAGAATATTCTGCTCTACAAAGAGGAGAAACTGGACAGCGTTGAGCTCTTTGGCCCCTGATGACTGGATCACAGCTGAGGACCCTTGTCCTTAGTAGGAAAGATGAGCATCAGATCAAGAGAAAGGTCTGAGGCGGAATCCAAGACCTGCCTGGAAATATGCAACAAAACCTCAGCTCTCCTGGGTGGGAGGGAAACTTCATTTCACTGGAATGAGCTGGGAGAGAAGGGCCCTCAGCTTTTAGAGACACAAAAATCCATGAAGCCTCTTCCTTTCTGGGCTTTGTTAGCTAATGCAGGAGGAGGAGACTGAAGTGGAAATCCTGTACATGGGCCCAGGATGTGGGTGATTTTGTGGTTCCAGGGACTGTGTGATGATAACCACCCCTGCAGATTCCATTACCTCAGCAGCTCCTGTCCCCCCACCACTGGCGGAGCATTCTGCAATGCCATAGCATTTTCTGGAGCTAAGATCTCTAGGTGGTATTTGCTGACAGCCTGCAAGCTTTCATGCTCTGAAAGTCTTTTTTCAGTTTTTATGTTTATTTTTTTGTAGAGATGGGGTCTCTCTATGTTGCCCAGGCTGGTCTTGAAGTCCTGGGCCCAAGCAGTCCTCCCACCTCGGCCTCCCGAAGTGCTGGGATTACAGGTTGGAGCCACTGTGCCTGTTCTGAAAGACTTTCAACTCGTGGCTCAGTGCAGTTCTTGACTCACCTCTCCAGGTCTCAAGTTCTACAAATGGCAGACACCTGGCGAAGCACTCTACAAGCTTTCCACTGCCTGTATCGGAAATCTTGCAACTCACATATTTATTTAGTCACTGCCTGGCGCCTTTATCTTCCCATCCCATTAATATTAGTGTTTTTTAAATGGAGCTTTTATTTTGTTAATTTATTGAGACAGTCTCTCTCTCTTGCCTAGGCTGGAGTGCAGTGGTGCGACCTCGGCTCACTGCAGCTTCTGCCTCCCAGGTTCAAGTGGTTCTCCTGCCTCAGCCTCCTGAGTAGCTGGGACTATAGATGCCCACCACCATGCCTGACTAATTTTTATATTTTTAGTAGAGACGGGGTTTCACCATATTGGCCAGGCTGGTCTCAAACTCCTGACCTTGTGATCCACCCACCTTGGCCTCCCAAAGTGCTGGGATTACAGGCATGAGCCACCACACCCACCTAAGAACATGTGTTATTTATAACTGGATGAAGAATCAGGAGACTGCATTTCATGTCTGATTCTGCTGCTAATTAAGTCAGCCATTTAATTTTTGGGACCTCAGTTTCTTTGTAAGATAACACCTGCTTGTTCTCCATCCCTGGGCTGTTGGGAGGAACAGATGAGACAGTGGCTATAGAAGCACTTGGGAAATGCACTTGTCCTGTTTTATAAAATAAAAAGGTATTAAATGTATATTTCTGCCATGTACCTAATGATTATTAAGTGTGTAAATATCTGAAAAGTCATGTTTCTTTCTTTTTTTTTTTTTTTTTGAGACAGAGTTTCACTCTTGTTACCCAGGCTGGAGTGCAATGGCGCGATCTCGGCTCACCGCAACCTCTGCCTCCTGGGTTCAAGCAATTCTCCTGCCTCAGCCTCCTGAGTAGCTGGGATTACAGGCACGTGCCACCATGCCCAGCTAATTTTTTGTATCTTTAGTAGAGACGGGGTTTCACCATGTTGACCAGGATGGTCTTGATCTCTTGACCTCGTGATCCACCCGCCTCGGCCTCCCAAAGTGCTGGGATTACAGGCTTGAGCCACCGCGCCCGGCAAGTCATGTTTCTTATATTTTTGTGAAACAGATTCTATTTTAAATTCACTGGGAGAAATGTCCTATTTAAAATGATTCTATAGTGATTTCTTTTTATTTAATAAAAATATGTAAAGTCAACAGACAACTTGTAATTAGTTTCGTGTCTAGAAGAATTTGTTTAGAGGAGGCGCTCTGCATCCTTGAGACGGGGTAGCTGAGAGCTAGCTAGGATCCTGGCTCTCACTGTTGGCTGTGAATAGCTACATGATCTTGGGCCCGGGTAGGGAGTTACTGTGAGGCTCTGCTTCCTCATCTGTACACTGCGAAGAAAAAGTACCCATTTCATGGGCTTGTTGTCAGGGGTAGGTCCTGCCTGGGAAAAGCATATAGTAACTCCCCAGTAAGGACAGCTTTGGCTTGACATGTGATGTAGCTGAATTGGGTCCCAGCCAGGTGGACAGTGATCTGTACAGACAACACTGTCTTCAGCTCTGGTGTCTGTGAGGATTCAAGGTGAATGTGCATTTTGTGCCCTAAACAGGACGTGACCTGTTGCAAACACCTTACAATTATAAGCAGGGTGTTTCCAGGGCTGTTTGAGCAATAGAGGGCTGACACTAATAGGTTCCTGGTTATCCAGACATACTTGCATTTCTAGACTAGGTTTTCACCTATTTTTGGAGAAGTCAGTGAATCTCTTTGGGATTTGGATGAAAGCTATAGACTTCTGCTCAGCCAGGTATAACTATATACATGCACATTCTGAGTATATGAATTCCAGACAATCACGGGTACCATGATGTCTTTTCATGGATCCCCCATAGGGAAAGCCTGAATTTTTTTTTTTTTAGGTTAATAGAGGATTTAAAAATCCAAACAGTACAAAGGTTACATGGTGAGAAGGCAGGCTTTTTCTCATTGTGATCTTAGCCTCCAGTTTCTTCCTCCCAAAGGCAACCACTGTCACTAGGTTGGAGTATCCTTCCAAAGGTGATGCAAAACAGAGGTGATGCTCAACTTAATTAGTAGTCAGGGAAATGCAAATCAAAACCTCTATGAGATGCCACTTCACATTCACTAGGATAGCTATAATCAAAGACAGAAACAAGGGTTGGCTACGATGTGGAGAAGTTGGAGCCCACACAAACTGCTGGTGGAAACTGAAAATGGTGAGCACTTTGGAAAACAGTTTGGCACTTCCTTAAAAGGTAAAACAGGTTCCACATGACCTAGCAATTCTATGCTTAGGTGTCTACTCAATAGAAATGAAAACACATCCACACAAAAGCCTGCACACCAATGTTTATAACAGCATGAATCATAACAGCCAAAAAGTTGAAACAACCCAAATATCCACCAACTGATGAGTGGATAAATGAAATGTGGTTTATTCATACAATGGAATGTTACTCAGCCATAGAAAAAAGTATTGATACATGTTACAACATAGATGAACCTTGAGATCATGTTAAGCAAAAGCTTGTCACATATTGTATGATTCCATTTTTAATTTTGTCAGAATAGGCAAACCTATCAAGACAGAAAATAGATTACAGTCTTGCTGGAATTATAGGAGTGAGTCACCAGGCCAGCTGGTCATACTTTTTTTTTTTTGAGACAGAGTCTTGCTCTGTTGCCCAGGCTGGAGTGGAATGGCATAATCTTGGCTCATTGCAACCTCCGCCTCCTGGGTTCAAGCGATTGATTCTATTGCTTCAGCCTCCCAAGTAGTTGGGATTACAGGTGCGCACCACCATGCCCAACTAATTTTCGTATTTTTTAAAAATTAGAGATGGGGTTTCACCATGTTGGTGAGTTTGGTCTCGAACTTCTGATCTTGTGATCCACCTGCCTCGGCCTCCCAAAGTGCTGGGATTACAGGTGTGAGCCACTGCACCTGTCACTCATACACTTTAAATGAGTGAATTTTATGGTATGTAAATTATATCTCAAAGCTGTGAGAAACAAACACACAGAGTGGTTACCCTCAGGGATTTGAAGAAAGCCACATTTATCTTTGTGGGCCACTGCTCTCTATCTAGCCACACGTGAATTTCATTAATGCTTTTTTTTTTTTTCTTTTAAAGACAGGGTTTCACCATGTTGGTCAGGCTGGTCTTGAACTCCCGACCTCAGGTGATCCGCCTGCCTTGGCCTCCAAAGTGCTTGGATTACAGGCGTGAGCCACCACGCCCTGCCTCATGCTTTTCTAGGTCCTTTGTTTTTTCATGACTTTTTTGGCCATTGCTCCTCAACAGTAAGTTTAGATCACTTCATTCTTTTTGCCTTACATTCCATTGTATGGATATTCCTTAATGTGTATAACCAGCTCCTACTGATGGAGATTGAGGTTTTGTTTTCATTCCAGCTGCTATAGACAATGCCACCTTCCAAGGAGATTGTATCAATTAACACTACATCAAGGATGTATGGGAGTGCATGTCTCCACATTCTTAGCCACAAGGTATATTATCTTGTTTTTTGATTATTCCCAATTTAACGAGTGGAAAATTATAATTTTATACGTACTTTTTAAACGGCTGAGGTGGAGTCATCTTTCTTTTGTTTAAGAGCCTTTCATAATTTGTTTTTGATCATTGCTTCCTTTGCTTTTTTTTTTTTTCCTGGAGACAGGGTCTCGCTTTATCTCCCTGGCTGCAGTGCAGTGGGGTAATCTTGGTTCACTGCACCCTCGACTTCCCAGGCTCAACGGAGCCTCCCACCTCAGCCTCCTGAGTAGCTGGGACTACAAGCACCCACCACCACACCTGGCTAATTTTTGTGTTTCAGTAGACGGGGTTTCGACATGTTGCCCAGGCTGGTTTTGAACCCTCGGCCTCTCAAAGCACTGGGATTACAGATGTGTGCCACTGGACCCGGCCTCCTTTTCCAGTTTTAATACTATCTTATATTTTGGGAGAGTTGCTACATCGAATATCGGCCCTTTGTCATGTGTTGTAAGGATTTTTCTATATTCGTACCTTGTCTTTGATTTTTTTTTTTTTTTTTTTTTTTTTTTTTTAAATTGAGACAGGGTCTTGCTTTGCCCTCCAGGCTGGAGTGCAGTGGCGCGATCACAGCTCACTGCAGTCTGGACTTCTGGGGCTCAAGTGATTCTCCCACCTCAGTTTTGAGTAGCTGGGACCACGCCCAGCTAATTTTATTTTTTGTAGAGATCGCACCCTGTTGGCCAGGCTGGTCTCGAACTCCTGAGCTCGAGCCATCCTCCCGCCTCGGCCTCCCAAGATGCTGGGATTGCAGGCGTGAGCCACCGCGCCCAGCCGTCTAGATATTTTTCACCAGGGGGCTATTCCACATTTTTGTGTAGTCTTTTTTTTTTCTTCGGTGCCTTCTAATTCTTCCCCTTTCTGGGTGTCTCACTTGGTCTCTCTGAGCCACAGTTTTCTGCTTATAATGTGGGGTCGTAAGGCTCAGCACGCACGGTTTAGCGTGGGTTCGATGAGCGAATCCAGGTCTGAAAGGCTCCGGCACAGGTGCGGGCGCTGAGGCCAGCAGCCTCAGGATGAGGCGCATCCGCAGACGCCGCCCGCCTGCACCTCTTGCTCGCCTCAGCTTCCCGCTGTTCTAGCCCACGTGAGCGGCTCCGCCCTATCTGGCTTCTGACCAATGGACGAGTTTCCTAAGGCTTCCGTCCCGCCTCCAAGCCTCTTGGCCAAAAGGCGGGCTCTATCTCTCTCGGAGTCCCGCCCCTTGGCGGGTAGAGCAATGGGCGCCTTCCGTTCGGCGCAGGTCCCGCCCCCACCGCTCTCCGGCCTGCGGGCCGCAGGGCTGGTTCCGGACGGCGGACGCCGAGGAGGCCGGGGTGGTCGCAGCTCAGGCGGGGGCCCGGCGGGAGGGTTGTAGGGCTGGGGTCGGCGGCGAGTTGCCCTGCGGTACAGCGGCGGCAGCCCGGCAGGCCGTCCTGAGCCGGCAGACGGGGGCGCAGCCAGCTCCCGAGGGGCAGCTCGGGCCCCTTCCGGCCCGGGGCTGCTCGGGCCGCGAGAGCTGGGCGGGCTGCGGCGCCGGGTCTGGCCCTGGCCTCCGGGCTAAGCGCCGGCCCCTGGGCTGCTGGTGCGGCAGCCATGTGTGGACCTTGAAGCGCTTTGGCAGTTCTGAAGGGCTTTATATTGCAAACTGATCAAAGCGCTTTGTAGCCCCGGAAGCGCTTAGGCATCTCCGAAGTAGCGCTGTACAAAGTGAAGCGGTGGGTGAGCTCAGAAGCACGTTGTGGGCTTGGGAACCAACGGAAGCCTTTAGTAAATTTTGAATCGTTTTGACTTCTCCCACACGGTTCGGCATCTCTGAAACCTTGAGAACTGTGATGGGCAGTGGAAAGAAGAGGGAAAGGTCAGTGAAGCCAGCCCCTGGCTCTGCATTTGTGGCTTGCACTCCCCGGCCCGGGGTGGCGGGAATCTGCGGTGGGGCGGCCAGGAAGGGTGGTGTTGGAATCCAGGCTCCCTGTACCTTGCAGGTGCCCATGGCGTCCGAGAGGCGCAAGGTCAAGTACAACTGGAGCAGCACGTCGGAAGGGTGTCCCAGCAAGCGCAGCTGCCTCCGGGAGCCCGGCCATGTGGCCCCCTCCAGCCGACCAGCTCAGAGCTCTGCGTGGCCTTCGGGAGAGCCCGGCAGCCCCAAGCGCCTGAAAGCCCAGAAGGAGGACGATGTGGCTTGCTCACGGAGGATATCCTGGGGCTCATCCCGCCGCAGAAATAACTCCTCCTCCTCTTCCCCCCGTTTCTTGGGCCCAGGTGTGGGCGGGGCCGCTTCCAAAGGCTGCCTGATTCGTAGCTCTCGGGGTTTCCTGTCGTCGTCAGGGGGATCCCCTCCGCGTCCTGCCAACGCCTTTCTAGAAGAAATGGCTTCTCTAGAGGAGGAAGCCTGCAGCCTTAAGGTAGGTGGCTGCGACGCTTTGCAATCGGTGAAGCCCCTTCCACGTGGCTTGCGAGGTTGGGGATGGGAATTTTGGCAGGGGGAGACTATAATAGAATGTCACATCCTGGAAGGTTCTGGAGGGTCTTCTCAGTAGTCCACTCCACCCAAACTGGAAGACCAAGCAGTCTTCAGGGCGTGGCCTGAAGTTTTAAGTACAGAGGTAGTTTTCAAACTCGGCAGCACTTTGGAACTGCTTGGAAAGCTTTAAAATACTTAGGGCCTGCCTTTTACCCCAGAGAAACTGATTTATTGGACTGAGGTGTGGTCTAGACTTCCAGATTTTTCAGTGCTCCCCAGGTTATTGTAAACGTGCAGCCCCGTTGGAGAATCACTACAGTAGAAGGTGGATTATGTGCTCAAGAGAAGGATGTATTTAGTTGTCAGTTTAAGGAATTGTGTGCCATTGTTCTTTGAACCACTCTGTATCACAGAACCAAGAAATGTGGCTGTTCCCTAAAGTCATGGTTTCCAGCCTGATGGGGTTTTGCTTGGTGGTGCTAGTTTTTTTTTTTTTTTTTTTGGAGGTTATATTGTTAGTTCCCTAATGGAAACACACAAGAGGGTTTCATAAGTACTGGGAGCAGACCAAGGAGGGCTTAACAGAAAAGACTTATTTCACTCATCCACTCAAGGCTTTGAACGAATATTTGTTGAGCGTTTAGTTCGTGCCAGGCAATGTTCTAGGTGTTTGGGATTGTCTAGTAACAAAACAGAGATCACTTTCCCCTTAGAGTTTGCATTCTAGGTTTTGCAGCTCTGGGTCTTAAGAAGTGAGAAGTTCGGCCTGTGGAGGAGTGGAGAAACGGTCTTATTTGGGATGAGATGGACTGCCTCTAGAGAAAATTATTTTTACAAAAGCAATTAAAACAGGCCCTAAGGAATATTGGTTTGTTTTTTAAGCCTAGTCTTGGTGGTTTCTTCTGAGTAGCTGAAAAAGGAGGCTGTATTTGACTGTTTATCTTGGGGAACTTCTAGGCTAAGTGCCTCTGGTTTTTTCAATGTGGACCTCACTGAACTCTTGTATGGGTGGGCACGTGGATTTTTTTCTTTTTAAATTCAAAAATAATGGTGAGTTGAAAAGCCCTGTCTTTAGCCTAAGAATGCTGAATGTGTCTCAAATCAGATAAGTATGGGACTTTGCTCACACAAGTTAATCTTGCCATTAATCCTTGATACAATTTCAGTAGACTTGGGTACAGCATAAACTAATGCCAATTGATTAAATTTAGCTTTATTGACAATTACAGATAGAGTGAAACCTGGTACCAGGAGAGGCAGGAAATTTACTTAGTCTTTCAGGTGTTCTGAATCCCTGGCTGTCCTAAAGCCGTGGAACTCGGGTCGAGGGTGTGGTCTCTAATCTGGGTTGGTTTAATTGTAGGATAGACCCATCTTTCTCTCATTAAGGCTAAAGAGGCCTTGTTTTGCAAGAACCCCATTTAATGGTTTCAATAAGCATTTGAGGGTTATTTTGTGCTAAGCACCCTTGGGTCTGGGAGTGATGAGCTTCTAGGGAGCAGTCTGGTGGGAGGGCTGGAGGGGTGGTCAAATGACTGCCCACAACGTGGTATCATGGAGCAGTGAGCCCAGAATGGAGGCTGGAGAGTGAGGTACAGGGCAGATTGCATTGAGGTTTTAGTAGTCAAGGGAATTTGGACTTTATCCTAAGGACAATGAATTTTATTATAAGGGACAGTTACCTATTTTTTTTTTTTTTTTTTTTTTTTTTTTAGACGGAGTTTTGCTCTTGTTACCCAGGCTGGAGTGCAATGGCGCGATCTCGGCTCACCGCAACCTCCGCCTCCTGGGTTCAGGCAATTCTCCTGCCTCAGCCTCCTGAGTAGCTGGGATTATAGGCACGTGCCACCACGCCAGCTAATATTTTTGTATTTTTAGTAGAGACGGGGTTTCACCATGTTGACCAGGACGGTCTCGATCTCTTGACCTCGTGATCCACCTGCCTCGGCCTCCCAAAGTGCTGGGATTACAGGCTTGAGCCACCGTGCCCGGCCTTTTTTTTTTTTTTTTTTTGAGACAGATTCTTACTGTGTCACCCAAGGTAGAGTGAGTGGAGTGGCTTGATCTTGGCTTACTGCAACCTCCACCTCCCAGGTTCAAACAATTCTCCTGCCTCAGCCTCCCAAGTAGCTGGGACTACAGGTGTGCGCCACCATGCCCAGCTAATCTTTGTATTTTTAGTGGAGACCAGGTTTTGCCTTATTGGCCAGGCTGGTCTCAAACTCCTCAACTCAAGTGATCCGCGCACCTCAGCCTCCAAAAGTGCTGGGATTACGGGTGTGAAGCCACTGTGCCCAATGAATTGTATTCTTCTTTAAAAAAAATTTTATTTTTTGAAACTCTTTCCCAGGCTGGAATGTAGTGGCACAATCATGACTCACTGCAACCTCAAACTCCCGGGGTCAATCAGTCCTCTTAAATAGGTGAGAATATGGGTATGTGCCATCACACTCTGCAGTTGAAAACATTTTTTTTTTTTTTTTTTGGGACGGAGTTTCGCTCTTGTTACCCAGGCTGGAGTGCAATGGCGCGATCTCGGCTCACCGCAACCTCCGCCTCCTGGGTTCAAGCAATTCTCCTGCCTCAGCCTCCTGAGTAGCTGGGATTACAGGCACGTGCTACCATGCCCAGCTAATTTTTTGTATTTTTAGTAGAGACAGGGTTTCACCATGTTGACCAGGATGGTCTTGATCTCTTGACCTCGTGATCTACCCGCCTCAGCCTCCCAAAGTGCTGGGATTACAGGCTTGAGCCACCGCGCCCGGCCTTTTTTTTTTTTTTTTGGTAGAGATGAAGGTCTTACTATATTGCCCAGGCTGGTCTTGAACTCTTGGGCTCAAGCTATCCTTTCTCCTTGTCCGGCCAAATCATCGAGATTACAGGCATGAGCAATTGTGCCAGCTGGACTGTCTTCTAAGCAATTAGATAATTTATACAGGGCTCTTTACAGAGGAAAGACAAATTGCATTGTATAAAGATCACTCTTGTCAAGTGAGGATTTTTATATTATCCTGATGGTCTATCGCTAGCACTGCTGAGGTCTCTCCCTAGAGCTGCATTTGTCAGTTTGAAAACCAAGTGTACACTACTTGAGTCATCTCAATGAATTACAAGACACCTCATACCTTCCCTGTTCATCTGTACCTGCTCCTCCCTTGCTCTGCAGTCATCTGTGAACTTGCTTGTCATGGTCCTAAGTCTTTCAGCAAGCACAGCTGTGAGGGGTACTCACAAAAATGGCATGTTCATCCCCAGGTTCTTCTAGAGTCCTCTCACTACTCTCCTGTGTCTGTTCTGTAAACTTTTTTTTTCTTTCAGACAGGTTCTTGCTCTGTTACCCAGACTGGAGTGCAGTGGCATGATCATTGCTCACTGCAGCTCAACCTCCTGGGCTCAAGCAATCCTCCTGCTTCAGCCTCCCAAGTAGCTGGAACTACAGGCATGTGCCACCATGCCTGGCTAATTTATGTTTTGTAAAGACAAGATTCTCTCTCTGTAGTCCAGGCTGGTCTCAATGTCCTGGGTTCAGACAATCCTCCGACCTTGGCCTCCCAAAGTGCTGGGATTACAGGTGTGAGCTACTGTGCCTGGCGTTGCTCTGTAAACGTTGAGGGTTACACAGTTGACTTTTGTTCCCTCCTCCCTGCAGCCTTTAACATAGCTCTGTCTGCCAGGTCACAGGATATTCCGAGGGGAGGCTGTTAGACTGGTCATTTTAGAATCAGTAGAGATCCCTGCTATCTGACCTCACATTGTTCCCTTCTTACCTCCAGGACAGTTGGAGAGGTTTTCTTACATTCTGATGTTAGCTGATAATCTTAGTTTACTCTTCATAGAGAAGGTTAACTGTGTGATGAGCACCTTCATGTACTCCAGATCATCTTTACTATGACATCTAAATGTCTACATTCAATTTAGAGTAGGAAGAATGGAAGGGAAAATTTGAGCATGTGTGATGGGGCTTGATCAACTATGATTCTTAATGTTTGACCTATAGACTGGCACATGATCCCAACAGTGTCGTGAAATAGGTGGTATTATCTCTACATATCTGTTAGTAAATAACTTCGTATCAATTAACAAATATTTAAGCACTGACGCTGTGTGGGCACTGGGAAAATGAGATTCGGAAAGGTTAGATAAGCTAAGGCCATGCACCTGGTAAGTGGCCAAGCTGTGGGGTAGTACCAGATCAGTCTAACTTCAAAGCCTGTGTTCTTTGCACTGCTACCTCTGGGAGCACCTGCTGTGTCCCAGCCTGGCATCAGAGGTAGGGGTGGCAAGATGAAGATGCCACGGCCTCTCCCTTGAGGAGCTTTCTGCAGGGTAAGTCAGCACAGGCACTGTAAAACACTGGCTCTCGAGTGATAGAGCTTTTGCACATCCCCTTTCCTGCATCTTCACTTGGCACATGTCCAGTGCTCACGTGGAACACCAGGCTAGGACCTGTAGGTGCCAAGGACAATCAGGCCATGCTTCACAGACTGAAAAGTCACTCACTGCAGGGCAGTGAGCAGAGTGCTGTAACAGGGATGTTTGAAGTGCCCAAGGGTCAGGGGAATGAGCAACTGGCCATCAGGAAGGTCCTCCCAGAAGAGGTGAACCTGTCTTCCTGATGGACAAAGGAGGACGACAGAACATTTTGGGCAGAGGGAACAACATGTGCCCCAAACATCAGGAAATGCTACTTGTCTATAGCGCTTGGGGCACTGCTAGCCCTCCCTTCCCTCATCCGTGCCCTTCTGCATTCCCT